ACCTGGTTGCTGAACATTACAGAGTTGGATTGTTTGTATATATATGTATTTCATATAACTACAGTCATCCTTCGATATACGTCGACCTTATATACTTCGTTTCGATATACGTCGGCAAGATTTTTATTCTTCCTTAATAGACGTTGTTTCAGATTTAATTTACGTCGTTGAGAATTTTTTATAAATTTTGGTACTAAAATTTATTTGATACATAAAAATAATTATTATAATTACAATTATACGTTAACAATGTAATTATGAATAAATATATTAAAAGTATAATGAATTTTTAAATAAATATGCAAACATACAACTAGCTATGTATTTTTCTAGTGAAAAATATATACTTTTTCTATATGAGTCTTCGATATACGTTGTTTCGATATACGTCGTTGTGTGGCTGGATCAAATAATGACGTATATCAAGGGGTTACTGTATATAATTAACATTGTTGAATTGTGAAAGAAACGATTCGTGCACACCTAGAAAATATGTGATAGATACTATACTGACTTACAAATTATATTGAAATCTTCAGCAGGGTTCCGGTTTCATAAAATTTGAACATCTTGCCGAAATTTTATGGCTGCAGTGTACTTAATCGATATTTACATAGATTGTTTTTAAAAATTAAAATGATTTTTAACAAAAAAGTTTAAAATTTTCAAATAATTTTATTTAAAACCAAAAAAAAAAACATTGACCCAAGCAAAAAAATTTTCATTTCAATTAAACACAACTACTTTACTTAAATCATGAAAGTACAAATATGTTCATAAATTATGTGATCTCAAATAGCACAATTTAATTTTTATATCTTCGGCCCATAATAATGCATAATTAACCAAATCTACATAACTATGTTACGAATGTAGAATTGGATTATTTTTTTTTTTGCATATTTTCTCTTAAATAGTTTGAAAATAGTGTCAAAAATTTATTTTATAACCAATTTAAAGTTTTACCATATACAGTTACGTTAAAAATTTCAAATTACCCAACTTTTATATACGAAATATTCGAATATGTGTAAATTAAGTGCCAAAATAATAAAACAAATTTAGAATTTAATTATATTGTAGCTAGACGAATACACACCGTGCAATCTTTATATATGATTAAAAATAAATACCACAAGTTATTGATTAACATTTTTATTGTTAAGGCACATTTATTTGTGTAATTTTATACCAGTTAAATAATTCGCATATTATATCAACAGAGTGGTGCACATTCAGGAGCACATATTTTTATATGTTAGATCTTTTAATAATTTGATCTCCGTGTTTGTTTTTTTTCAATTATTTATTTAGTTCTTATAAATATTTTATAAAATCACAAAATCTTTTTCATTGTTTTTATTTAAATTATCCAGATTATAATTATTGTTGTATTCTAAATTTAATAATTAAAATATTAAAGAATTAAAAAAAAAATTTAACTTATAGAATTTGTAAATTTGCAGAGTTTAAAATATGTAGATTTCAAAAATTTGTTTATTTTATAAGAATTTTATAAAATTAATTGTTCCTTAAAGGACAATGTAATTTTTCTTTTAAATTCATTTAATCCTGTTATCTGCTTCAAAGTTATTGGATGATCTTTAGATATACATGTTAAGCAGGTTTTTGAGCAGGTTAATTTTACTTAATAATTTTTTTTCATCTCCAAAATTTTTGGTATATTTTTTACATCAAAATGAATATGAGAATCCGAAAAGTCTTGAATGAATATACCAAATTAATTCATAATTCTTAATAAAAAATAACAATACTTTTCAAAAAGATCAAAATTTTGAAGTCGAATAATTTAAAAAAAAAAGGAAGATTTAAAAAATGTCCCATATTAGTTTATATATATATCTTATTCTACCATCTTTCTTCCGAAATAACATCGACACTCATACACTCTGTATGAGATATAATTACATTTGCATTATTATATATACAGACACAAAGACCAAAAATAGAGATTACGAGTTATTCACGCTTTCCACCATTTTTTATTATATTGTGATAATTTTGATGAAATCGTTATTTTTTTTTTTTTCTATAAATTTTAAAGTACACTATTTATTTAAATATAAAATAAATAATGTTTAAATGTACATACATAAATTATTATAATTTAATATATTGTACACATAGTCTATATGTTAAAATAATCCTATACACACAAATGTAGGCAAGTACAATTGGTATGTGCGAATAATACCTTTTTTCTGCAAAGAATGTGAGCATAATATGCACATTACTAGTTTATATATAAGTATTTTGAATTTTCAATTTACAATTTGTAAATCATTGAAATGGTTGCAATCCATAAATTAATGGTTGTATTGCAAAACAAGAAATTAAGAAGAAATATTTGCATTTTAAATTATTATCAAACATTTTAATCAAAGGCAGGCACAAATTTTTATTTTTACACTTTTGGAATATAAAATATTTTCTACATTTTTGTAATAAAATTATAAAGTCTTCGTTAAATTGTGAAGAGGTACTTGTTATGTTTATGCACAATTTTTAACACCAAATTCCCAAGAATTTTCTATTCGGATTATCATTAATATTACATACATAATACGAGTATATAGTTGAAATTCAAAATTTAATGTTGGGAAAACAGAATTTTTTGCTATAAAAAATTTTTTATAATTTTCTCACTTGTTTTTTGTAATAATATTGAATTGAGTTATGAGTTTCATATTCAAACTTTATTAATAGAAGAACCACTCGATTATTTTTTATATTTTTAAAATGAGACCTCCATTTAATGCATATTTTAATTTAGAAATTTTTGTATATATGTATGTACATTTATGTTGACACAAAATATTGTAATGTTCTTTAAGATTTGCCTTTATAATTTTATATAATGCTAGTTTAATTGTTAATCACTTGTTGATCACTTATGTATGTATATGCAAGTATATTTCATGCAACAGAATTAAAATTTCTTAACTTTTTAATTTCTTTTATATATTCCACAATAATAATAATATAAAAATAAATTAGATATGAAAAGAATGATCTTTGTAATAGAGAAAAAATAAATTAAAAATTTTACTGAAAGCAGATAAAAAGTTTTCAAATTTCTATTTATTTATTTATATTTGTCAAAATATTATTTGCTGTGATAACAACAGAATTTTTATAATAAAATTACAACAGAGTCGGATTTCTTTTTCTTTTTTTTTTTTTGATGTAATGTCACAATAAATATTTTCTAGAATTAGATAAGAGCTGTTATAAGTTTGAAACTGAAAATAAAAATAAAATCGAATTGATACTCAATGTATATTAGTTAGGAATCAATGTCGAAGTAGAAATCGAAGTTGGAATAAAAAATAAAATTTAGGGCCGAATTGGCAAATCCGTTTATAACAACAAAAACATATTCCGTTAATAAAATTTTAATGAATTGTATATCAACTCCAAAGTTATAAAATAAAATTCTTGATTAATTTACATTAATCTCATAATAATTTACAAATATCTCAAAATTGAAAAAAGATGCATATTAGAAAAGCTATACACCAAAAACGGTTCGATTGTAGAATGAAATATTTGGTGAAGGAATACTGCAATTGTTTATTTTTACGAAAAATAATAAATAATTTTTTTAAACTTTTAGTATTTTAAAGAATTGCATTAATATATAGCATGATATATATATACATAATATGTAGATAGTTCCAAAAACTTTTTAACATGACCTTATACATATGAACAGTACATATGTATATATGTACAAAAATATATTTTATTATTAAAATCTCAAATAAGAATATTTTATATTTTACTTAATATTCAATATTTGGACAAAATGTTGTTGAAATTGTTGAAATTTAGACATTTGAATTGATGATAAAAGAAAAAAATAAATTACACTTAGAATTTATGAAAAAATACAATAAATATTTATGAATATATATATATTAATATGTATGTGTGTGTACATGTATGAAAAAGTATAAACTAATATGTTTGTATGTAAATTTAAATAATTATATTTAATAAACATAATGTACATGGTGTTCTATTAAAAATTTTAATACTTACGAATATGATATTCGAGTAGATTAATCAAATATTTAAAAATCAAAAGTTGAATGAGTTGAAAATTAATGCTTCTATTACTATATTCTCCATTATAACAAACTATGAACATACCTAAATTCCCTATATTTAACGAGCAATTTGTTTGGCAGTAATGCTTGATTTTTTATTATGATTATTATGATGGATTTCTATATTATACGAAATATCCGCATTACGGAAATAACTTGCCGCGCACAATCTCACCGTATTAAAATTTACAATTCCAAGTGTTGAAACGGTATTGAAACTGAAAAACTAATTTGATACTTTAAAGTATAAAGCATCAATCACGTATTATTATAACACTGCATGGTATAATTTTGATATGCCGTGCCGAAAATGCGATAATTTTAATTTAGGTTAGGTACCACAATCATTTAGGTTAAACACTTAACAACAAAAATTTCTTTAATATTGTTTTAGATTGCTTATTAAAAAGATTATGACCGAGATTCAGATCAAAAAATTTATATTTAAAATTAAATTACATACATACACACATTACTCTCAACATTAGGTATTGAAGTAGTTATTTGGAGACAAAAGTATAAATAATGCTTAATACAGAAATATCTTAACTAATGCTCATACAATCTTTTTAACACCCTGTTGTATATCAAAAAAATCATTATTTGTCTAAATTAAAAATTTGAATGCCCTTGAAAAAAAAATTGAATTAATGTTTAATTGAGCAACAAAAATTATTTGGATAATAAGATAACAAAAAAAACATTTCTTTTTCTTTGTGTTATGCGTTGAAAATTTAATTCCCTTTAATTAAAATTTCCTTAACATTAAATTAATATTAAGTAAGAATTATTTTATTTTTACGTACATATATTTTATGTATAAGTAAATCTAAATTATAAATTAATTATACATTCTTCTTTTTTTAGAATTATGTACCAACTGGTTTCGAAAAATATTCAACAAAACGTCGAATTGGTGATTTTACAATAGAATATTCAATATGGGATACATCTGGTAGCGGTTCCTATGATACAGTTAGACCATTAGCATATCAAGATGCACAAATATTTATTTTATGTTTTAGTATATCAGAACCGGATACATTACAATTAACATTAAATAAATGGTTACCTGAAATAAAATCACATTGTCCAAATACACCAATAATATTATGCGGTTGTAAAGCTGATTCACGATATAATAGTAATTCAACGACAACTGGAACAACAACAACACCAAATCATCTTAATTCATCACATAATGATTTTGATAATTCAACAAATTTTTATATTAATCAACAAGCAGCAATTGAACAAGAACAAGCAAGAATAGCCTGTCAACAATTTAATGGTATTGCATATATTGAAACATGTTCAAGATATCCAAGTCCTGGTATTGATGAAATGTTTGAATTAGCTGCACAAACTGCATTAGATATAACAGAAATATCATCGATACCATCATCAAAAACTTCAACAAAAAAACGTAAAACCTATAGTATTTCAACATCAACTTTAGGTAAAAGTTCAACGCAATCTGTTGAAAAATCAATGCATAACTGTAATAATAAATCAACTCATTTAAAACCCGATATTCGAAAAGGAACAAAAAATTGCTCTTTAATGTGAAAATAATTTTTTTTTATTTTATAATTAAATTAAAAAATTTTTTTTTTTCTTTTTTGGTTTTATTCATTAAATTTACACAAAAAAAAAAAAATATTTTTCTTTTTCAAATAATATTTTAGTACATTTTTAGTTTATTTTATATAATTTGTTGATGTAAATATTATATTTTATTTAAGTCGTTATTAAAACTAGTCAAAAATAATAAAAAATAATGTTACAAGAAAATTAAAATTTTTAAACGAAGAGATTTATAATAGTTATACATACATGCATATTATATAATAATATTATGTATTATTATGTACATCCATATATATTATATATTATTAATTTTATATAAAATGGAAAAAGAGAAAAAGAAAAAAAAAATACAAATACAATAAATGTATTTAAAAAAAGACATTTTATTTAAATAAAATTATTTAATTATTTGTTAATAAATCAATTAAAATTAAACCGTTTTATTTTCTTTGTCCATATAAATATTTATATAATATAATTGGTATTAATAAGGTGAGAATTTTAATATTTCATCAAATATACTTTAGGTGAAGTATTTGTGCAATATTAAGTTATTTATTATTTTTTGGTAAAACAAATTGAATAAGTAGATCAACATAAATAGAAACTTGTACTGCATACATTAACATTATTATTAACATTTTTTCATTCACAATTCGAAATACCAAATTAATATTCTGTAATATTTTCTTAAAAGCGATCAACTCTTTGTGTTTAACTCTTATAATATAATTATTATTGCCATTTTTATTTTCACACGAATCGTGTAAAGCAAGTTTCAATTATCATTCATAATAATATTACATAGAAAGAGAGCCAAGACATTCAGATGATCCAAAATTAGATTGTTCATCGTCATCCGTTAATAAGAAAGGAAAAGAAAATAGTGAAGACTTAATAAGGAGGAGTTTAATTAGTATAAGAAATTCAAAGTTTTTAAAATAAATTCTACAGAAAAAAAAAAAAACAAAAAGAGTTGAGTACAACACTATTGTTACATAACCCATAATTAAACTTAATTTAAATTTCTAGAAAATACAGATATAAGAACTTTACTAACCTTTACTAACACCAAGATCAAAACAACCAGAATTAAAAACTTGCGGTACACAATTTCCTAATTACCGGATCATTCGTAATATGCATTTTACATATAAAATATGTATTAGGGAATTTTTAGGATTAATTTATTTCAAAATAATCTTATTACAAATATACTTTTAAATAAATTTAAAATAACTAACATCGACAACTAACACTTTAAATTCGTAATGACGTATGCAATTATTTAAACGACACTGAATTAAGATATTTTTTAATATTAAGCATATAAGTAAGTATATGTACCTGTCCAAAAGTAAATAATTTTTTTCTGTCAACACAACCGTTTAAAAATTGTACTTTTTATAATAAAATTTTCTTGCATCCTGAGAAATGCCAATGACTGCAAACTTTAAAAGTTTGTTAGAAAAGTAAGGAAGCAACACTGCACTGTTGCACTGTTTTTTTTTAAGTACTGTTATTTTTTATATTTATTTCGTTCACATACTATTAAGTGTTTACAAATGTAATAAAGTTTTCAAAAATGAATTAAAAACAACTAAAAACCAACAATATTAATTTAAATTAATTTTTATTTAATTTCCATTTTGTGATTTCTAAATTATTTTCGCTTTTTGCGTTCCCTCTTCTAAAAATGTTTTCAACCAATTGTATTCCTTTCCTACTATCCCATATGTACTTAATTTAAGCAGCAAAATATCTACTAATACTAATCTACTCTACTAATTGTTTGGAAAATGTTTTTAAGATTAGAGAGGCCGCTATAGGTGCCAAATCATTTTCTTGGGATAATTTAATGTCTTTCTTCTTGTTATTAAATATTATTGTAATTAAAATACTTCTGTGACTGCGAGAGTATAGCTTTTTCTAACACCTTTTCTTTTATCGTATTCATTTTCAATATACCTAAGACCTCAAGATACGACATCTTCTAATACGACATTTCGAGCTACGACATGACATAAATTTGGACCATTTTTATTCGACTTGCAACATTGTTCCTGAAACGATGTTACAAATTCTGACAGATTTGTATTGACTGATTGTGGTAATTTTTGAATAAAATCTATAGCAAATTCAACTTTAAGGAAAGTCTAAAACACATACTTTAATAATGAACTTTTTCTAATTAAAAATACTAGTCAGTAGTTTAAAAAAACGAATTGAAATGATGTACATGTCAATTTAATCAGATTTTTTTTTTTTTATTTTTGTTACAAAATTAAATTATTGTTTTGGTTTCGTTATTATATTTTGTTATTTTTTTAATCTTTGTTACCTTTTTTTTAAAAAAACAGGTGAATTATAATATAAAATAGTTTATCTAATTCACTTTTTGTTTCTATACAATTTTTTTTCTTCCTCAAGCGACAATTACGACGAGTTACGACATAAATTTCTGGAACCAAAAATGTCGTATGACGAGGACTTAGTTAACGTATTTATCTTCACTATAATTAAGACGAAAACGAAAAAAAATAATATAAATAAAAAGCACATCTTTTTTTTTTTATCTCGAAATGGAATTTGAATATCCTTTATTTCTCCTTTTTGAAAATTTATAATTAATAAAGTACAGAGTAATTGATAACATAATAATAATAATAATTAATAAGTAATTAAGATTTGATTAAAATATATATTTTTGCGTGTATCTATATATATATAATTATATGTATATACATCCATGTAAATATGTTGTATACATACATAAATGTGTATATATATAAATATATATATATAAATATATTTATATGTATATATTATATTTCTTTTTTAATTTAAATTTTTAAATATTTTTAATTTCTTTATTTATCATAATAAAATTTTTCCAAAAAAAAAATAAAAATTGAAATAAAATTAAATTTGATCAAATCTATTTACCAATATTTCACATTTACATAATTCATAATATATTTATGGTATTTCGTGTAATATAATAATTGATATTTAATTAAAATGGTAAAAAAGAGATGAATCAAAAGAAATCAATGATGATTAAGGAATCGATTAAGAAAAAAAAATTTAATTAATATAATAATAATTATTAATTAATAATATAATGTTATAATAAGTAAATAAAATATGATTAAATTAAAATAAAAAAAATAATTCAATTAAATATAAAAATTTTAATTCCAATCCGGTATTTTTCTTAATTTTTAAGGTTTTTTTGAAATTTTTTATTTTTTTCTTTTTTATTGATTTTTTTTTTATTTTTTTGCAATTTTCATTAATTTATCATTTTAAATTTTTTGTTTTTTTTTTTTTATTTTTTCCTTTTTTTTTTTTTTGTATCTCTTTTTATATATTTATGTATGTATATACATATTAGTTTTTGTTGAATTTCTTAAATTTTTTTTTCATGTTTTTCTGTAATGGAAAATATGTTTTAGTTTAAAGGGAGGCTTTTCGCTTTTTTTTTTCTTTTTTTGTTTTTTAGTTTTTTTTTTTTTTTGATTTTTATAGTCCATAATTATTTACTAATTTATTATCAGTTTATGTACATACATGATTAAAAAAAAAAAAAAGTAGAAAAAAAAATTATTATAGACAAAAATCGTTACCACCGTTGTTGTTTAAGATTTTTTTGTTCATTTAAAAATTGTAATCGAGGCATTCATATTATTGCAGTTTAGTATTTTGTTTTTTTTTTTTTTTTCTTTTTGAAACACAATTAGCTATTTATATTTTTTTTTTCTATATTATAATATATAAAATATATAGTTATATTTTTATATTTTGCATATATTTTATACATATATAAATTTGTAAAATATTGAACCCTAAAATTCTATTTTGCATTATGAAAAAAAGAAAAAAAAATTAATAGTAATAATTTTTGCAATGCTGATGATTTTTTATCTGCTTATTTTTTGTTTAAATTTTTTTTTTTAATATATAATATTTATTACGTTATACTTTTGTTTTATTAAACTTTACACAGAGAGATTTACTATATTTAAAGTTTTAAGTTTAATTTTTATTTATTATAATTAAATTTTAATTTTTAAAAATTGGTTGTTTTCTTCTATATATTGAGAAACAATGCCTCTTTTTCCTTATACATATTTAAAGAATGCGCTCAAAACATAAAATTTTCAAAACAAAATTTTGGATAAGTGATATATCTATTTAAAAACAAAAATAAAATAAAAAAAAAAAATAAAAAATATAAAGTTGCTTTTGTATTACATATAAATTTTGTATTTTTGTTTTATATATTTCTTTTTTTTTTGTTCTTTCTTTACTAAATTAAATTTACATCAAAGCACAATAATTTTCTTTTTATATTTCATTTTTTATCATTTTTCTATTTTTCATTTTAATTCTTTTTTCTATTTTTTTTTCTTTTTTTGTTTTCCATTTTCAATGTTCTTTTTCAATTTGAACAAGATTGTTTTTTTTTTCCTTTTTGGGTAATTTAAAACAAAAAATGTTTTTTTTTTCTTGTATATTTCTTAAAAACAAGGTATCAATTCTTTGCAATGTTAAAAACGAAGTTTATTATCTATTCATGTGAAAACATTTTTATTGCTATTGATTTTAGAAAATCATTTTTCTTCTTTTTTTTTTTGTCTTATTGTAACAAAAGTATTAACTACTTAATGGAATTAAATTTATTTGAAAAAAGATGTTAAAATTGAAAAATATTTAATAACACATTAAGAATAACATAAGCAAATCTTGAAAGTATGCAATTTGGTTATTTTTTTCAATTTTGACTAAGTTGTTCAAACGTATAACAATAATTCTCTCCAACAGAATAAAAATGAAAGTTAAAAAAAAAAATTAAAAACAAAAACCTATTGTCCCCCCTTTTTATAATTTCAATAATTAAATTGCAAAAAAAAAAATTGAATAGAAAATCTTTTTATCTTATTTTCTTCGTTCTTAACAACACAAGGATTTGCAATTGATTAAGGATGCATTTTTTTTTTTCTTTTTTGCTTTTGTATATGAATAAAATTTCAAATATTTTTTATGATTTTTTTTTAGAAATTTTTTTTCAATTTTTTTGTATGTTTTTGCTTTTTTTCAGTATAGAATTTTTCATAGATTTTGTTGATTTTTTCAATTTTCAATTTTTTTTTTATTTATTTTTATTTTTTTCGAAAATTATTTCAGTTTTTATGATTATTTTTTTCATTTTACAAATTTTTACGATTTTTTTGGTTCTTTTTCATTAGTTTTTTTTTTTTAAGTTTTTTTTTCTGTTTTGGTTTTAAAGTAGCAAAAAAAACAATTGTAAATAGTCAGTGGCGACCCAATATTTAATTACTTTTTTATATTGTGTTTACCTATTATGTTTTTTTATACTTTTTGGATTTTTTTTTTTCGTTTTATAATTAATTTTTATTTTTTGTTATAAAATTTTTTAATTTTTCTGAAGGAATTAAAACCAAAAAGTCATACATAAACACATAACATAAAAACAAAAGAAAAATTATTCAGGTAATAATCTTACCAGGAAAACAATTAGGTACTTATGTTTGTAAATTTTTTGTTTTAGCAAAATGAAGAGTACTAAGTATCGCAATTGAATTCAATCAAAATTTCGTAAAATTTTTCTATTTTATTATATAAAGTAATTAAAATGTAAAAAAAAAATTTAAAACTATTGTTATGAATACATTGTTGGAAAAGTAATTTATTGAAATGCATGAGAATCGAAACACAATGTTATACATACATGCTTATTTCTGGTAATTGCAATATAAATCAATTTAAGAAAATTTTTTTTACTGTACCCTTAACTTTTAAAAAATGTTTTGTTTTATATTTTATATTTGCGTTTCAAATTTACTTTTTTTTTGTTTATTTTTTCTTTTTGTTTTTTTTGCCTTTTTATGTTTTTCCTTTTTAAAATTTTTCTTTTTTTTTTTCTTTTTTTTAAATTGTTTTTAGGTATGTATTGTCAAAGTAAAAATTTTTTCCTTCAAAAATTTTTTTCTTGAGTGTGTTTAATTTACGAAATTCAAAATTATATAGAAAAAATTTTCAAGTCGAATTCGTAATTGAAAACAATTCGAAATATTTCAAGTTTTATCAAAATTTACATATGCATTATTAAAATCAAAATAATTAATAAACAGATAAAGAAGTCGTATTGATATTTCGTCTCATTTTAATAATCTATTGCTCAAAATTAATTCGAAAACAATATTTCGCATTTGAAAAAAAATTAAATTTTTCACTTTTAATTAGATTAATTATTTAACTGATTTATTGGGAAGTAATAGATATATAACGATATATAACAAACAAGAATTCAGTGTTAAAAAAAAATCCATAAAAGAAAAAGAAACTTAAAGAGATTTTGCTGTCGAAATGTTTCATTACCGTCGAATTTTAAAATTTTTCTGATTTTTTATTTTTTCCGATTTTTTTTATTTTATTTTTAGTTTTTTTTTTTTTAAGTTACTGCTTTCTTGATTTTTTTTTCGTTCTAAAATTTCTTATTATACTTGATAGGTATTATTGAATTTTTAATAAATTCATTGAACTTATTCAATTTTTTGGGATACAGTTTGTTTAGCTTGATGAGCTTGTAACACGGCAACAGCTTCATCAACTTTTGCTTTCAATGAAGAACTATCTTCCAACATATGAAGTAATTCTGAATTTTCAATTTCCAACAACATACCAGTAATTTTACCAGCCAAATGTGGATACATTCGTTCAATCAATGGGAAGAGACGTTCTCCCAATATTTGCTTTTGTTCTGGTGCAGTAGCATTTGCTAATAAACTAGCGATTAAAGGTTCCTGACCTAAAATATCATGCGTTTGTAAAAAATATTAAAGTATTACATATAATTTGCTTTGACATTTACCTTTTTGATGCATAGCGGGAACTGCACCTTGTTGTTGAACTTGTTGCTGAGTTGGAGGATTTCTCATATTTGAAGTGTATTTATAATTTGTTGCACGTTGTTGTGCTGCTGAAGCAACAGGAGTAGCTCCAATAGGTATGTTAGCACCACCAGCTTGTTGGCCAGTGATGGCACGAGCAGTATTGCGTATTGCTTGTGCATGTGCACCTGCTTGAGCTTGAGCTTGTTGGGCAACACGTACACTACTAGCAGCAGCTGCAGCACCTGGGCGAAATTGCGCAGCAGCAGAAGCGGCCATTGCTGCATTTTGGAATCCAGCTGCGGCTGCGTTAGCTGCACCTTGTGTTGTTGGATTTGGGCGAGGAGCTTGCGGAGCCCAACGAGGAGTTGAACGAATTGGAGCAACTTGCGGTCCAAAGAAACGTTGTGGTTGAGGTAATGTTGGTACAAAGAAACCGCCCGCGCCACTTGGTTGGAACATTTGATTGATTTGTTGCATACGCATTCCGGATACATGACGCATATACTGTGTAGCCAAATGCGCTTTGCGATCTTCTTTACGCTGAGCCAAAGCAACATATAACGGCTTAGAACCAATTATACGACCGTTCATTTCAGTTACACCACGTGTTGCTGCATCTGGTGAATTAAAGCATACAAAACCAAACCCTTTGGATCGGCCGTCCTCATCCAACATTACTTTGGCAGATGTTATGGTGCCATATAAAGAAAATTCTTGGCGTAAACGTTCATCATCAACTGTGTCATCTAAATTTTTGACATACAAATTAACTGCTTGCAGGCTATCGTGACGCTGCTTCTTCAATTCTTCAAATTTCCGTTTTAACTCTTGTTGGCGTTCTGCTTTCTTCTGAGCACGACCAACATATAACACTTTTCCTTCGGATACTTCCTTTCCATTTAGAGCATTTACAGCAGCCTCAGCCGCTTCTGTTGTCTCGTATGCAACAAAACCGAATCCTCTAGATTTACCATCATCCTTTGTAACAACCTATATAAAATTATAACGCAAGCAAATTAATAGGTTTTACAATAAGTTTTAAAATTATATACCTTGTGACTGGTTATTTTTCCGAAAGGCTCGAACATTTCGTATAATTTGTCATCATTCATATCTTCGCCAAAATTTTTTATATAAACATTTGTGAATAATTTTGCTTTTTCTCCCAATTCCTTCTCACGCTCTTTGCGTGGAATGAAACGTCCAACGTAAACTTTTTTTGAATGGAGTAACATACCATTCACTTTTTCAATTGAAGTATTTGCAGCTTCTTCTGTTTCAAAATGGACAAAACCATATCCTTTAGAATTACCTTTCTCATCTTGAGCTACCTTACAACTTAATATATTGCCAAAAGCAGAAAAAGTATCATATATAGCTTTGTTATCAATGCATTTGTCAAGATTTTTAATAAACACATTGCCGACGCCAGATCTCCGAAGTGATGGATCTCTCTGAGACCACATAATTCTTATTGGTCGATTTTTCAATAAATCGAAGTTCATGGTATCTAAAGCACGCTCGGCTAAAATTAGTAAATAAATTTAAATTATTCTTAAGTAGTTAAAATTAAAAAAAAAAAACAATTTTAGTTCATTTATACAGAAATGTAACTTATTCTTCTTTTGCTTTTGTTATTATTTGAACAAAAACATGGTAAGTCAAAGTATGCAGATGCATTAATTTTACAGTCTTGAATCTTAGCTAAATTTTAATATTGATTTAGATTCAGCCAATGGGTATAGACTGTATAGTATTGTACATATGTACTCAATGGTATTAAAACTTCGTGTTTGAATTGTTTTTTTTTTCATTTACTTTGGAATATTGATTTCTTTTTTAAATTAAAAAGTTATATTTTATAAATAAAAATTTTCAAAAAAAAAAACCTTAAAAAAATTTTAAACTCCTCGTCAATTCGAAATTATTATTTAATTAAATTTAAGTTTGCATGAAAATTTAATCTACTTAAAACAAGTCTTAATATGATATGGAATATTTCACTCGAAGTGATCAATCGAACATACCCACACAAAACGCATATTAAACTTATTAAATCCAAAAAGTAAAACAAAAAATTACCATTCCAACATATTTTGAAAAAATTTTTAAACTTAAAAATGAAAGTTTTTTTTTTTTCATTTTAATTAGGGTTTTCCATATGATTTCTCATTGTAGCTATTGTGCATACATATGTACATACATATGTATGAATATTTCTATCGAAAAAAGAAATACACAAAACAACGATTTTTCAATTTTTTTTTTCTTGCCCTTATTTTCGATGAAAACATGTTTGAGGGTATTTTCCCAAAGTAATATAAGATTTAGCATTAATTAAATTTAATAAAATCTTTGAAAAGTTAAATCGAAATAAGTTTTAAACAAAGAAAATTACTGAAACAATGTGAATTGAAACCGTCATGTTTAAATATGGCGATATGAAAAAATGGTGGAAACAATCAAAAATTGAACACGTGTGCTTTTTTTTCTAATATTCAATTAACTAAATTTTTTTTATTTGTATTCTAAATTTTAGTTTAATATTATTTACCATCAGCTGGTTGTTGAAAATTAACGTATGCATAGCCAAGTGAAGTACGACTTAAGCAATCACGGCATACTCGAATGGATAATACTGGCCCTGCTGTAGAAAATTTATCAAAAAGCATTGCTTCAGAAATATCTTCATGTAAGTCGCCAACATACAACGACGCCATTTGGTAATTCGGCCCTCCAGGATTGGGATTCATGGTTGCTGGCTTTTTCTTTCGCTGAACCTAAGTAATTCAAATCTTTTATTTTAAATCTGCAGTAAATACCTTTTTCTTGCAAGAAAGTTCAAATTAAAAAAAACTGCAAAAAAAAAAAAATTAACTCTATTAAAAAAATCCAATATGGCGGATATTAATATATGCAAATTATAGACGTAGTAATCTTACGTGAATATTTTTAAACACCTCAATAAATTTTTTTTTTCACTACTTTTACGATTTTTTTGGATTTTTAAAATTTTTTAATATTTTTTTTATTTTTTTATATTTTTTTCACAAAAAAAAAAATGTGAGAAGCCGTGCAAATAATGTTGCCACGACCACACACGACAGGGGACTCTACTCGTCTACTTTCTGTTTTCAAACGATATGTCTTTTTTCAACAAATCCTTCTGCATTGTCAAAAAAATGTTTTCTTTTTAAATGTTTCAGATGGTTCTATCTGCCGGCAAATTTATCGAACTGATCAACTGAATTAAGATAGATTATATAAAATTATCATATCATACTCAGACAACACATTCATTATTCATGCACTTCATTATCAATGCATTAAAATAGGTGCTTTAAATGCAAAAATTACAATTTATTGTTGATGCATATATTAAAATTTAAATTCAAGCACTTGCAAAAACAGAATCGAAATTTTGAAACTCAGTAATAAAGCTGCATTTTACTTACATGTTGTAGTTTCATAAATGAGTAAAGAATAACCTTATATTTTAAGTACTATAACGTCCAATTTAGATTGCATACTTAGTTAAAAAAGAATTTAGAAGCACTTTAGTTTTTAAAACATAGGGTTCTTTAAGAGTAACAAATAATTTCAGAAATAAAAAGTAACGCAGCCAAATTTTGATACAAAAAGAAATAATTGATTTATTTTTTGACAACGTCAAAGTACATATGTTAAAATTAATGCGACTTCTCGAAAAATTTATACTTCTAAAAAATCACGCTCAAGGACGATTTCGTGAACGAATTAATCAAAAATTATCGCTAAAATAAGACTAACGTTAAGTTTGCATAAATATACTCATTTTGAAAATTGGTCGAATCTTTTGAGCAAGTGATAGCATCATTTTGTCCTACTATAGCTATAGATCGAGCCGAAGTCACAAGGAAACGTCGCAGTACAAGCGTTCCTTTTACGCTTCTTATCTACCGAGTTAAAAATATTACCAAGTTACAAACAAATTAAGGTACCAAATTACCTAAATAGTGAAAAATTTTTACCTCTGAATAGTCATCCGCTTGCGAACTATGATCAACTACGCCCAACTAAGAAATTCGTTAAAAGCATCGCGTGTAATAATTATTACCAACGATATGACACTATTGCTTTGTTCACAATAGCTTCAGAAATTTCTAAGAGATGTCGTATGTTCAAATAAATAGTTTCATTTCGTGCGCGTGTTCGTTGACAGAGTTTTAACTATTTGGTAATTGATATTTTAATTTTTTGTAATTCTTTGGCTGTATCCCAAAAAAAGGATAATTTAAAAATAGTTCTAGCAATGTATCAAGTAAAACCAACTAGCGTAGATTTCGAAATACAAATTCCTAATTGCATGTATAAGGTTAAAATTGACCAAACATCATCCACTGCTTTGCGAACTAACGAAGAATTTATTAAAGTTAATCATACTACGGTGAAATCTTTTGATATTCTGGATGGCAAAATTAACACTTTATTAAAAAAAAGTGACATGGAGAATATAGAAGCACGGCAAGAATTACTCTTAGATCAATTACATAAATTTAAAACACGACTTTTAGAAATTCGAAAAAAATTAAAATTGAATATATCGCCCAAAAAAGGTAACACGACAGTAAATAAAAACTTAAAAAACGAGGATCTGGGGTTTAGAAAAAAATCGTTAGATATTTTTGAAAACTATTCCGAAATTGATATCGTAGTTAACGCTCATCCAAAATTTGTGCCCTATGGATTGCTCGGAATAAAAAATGCTTGGAAAAATCAAGTTAATTTCGATGTAAAAATTTTTTCTCACTCTACTTTACAAGATATCTCACCAGAAGCGAAACATTTCCAAAAGCAAATTACAGATGGAAGTATTACGAATTCAAAAAATCCTTCAATTAAAACCACAATAATTTGGAAAAACTGTGAACATACTGAAATGATAAGCTCTCCCACAATGTATAAACCAATTTATGGAGAAATAAATATTTTACGATTTTTGGCTAGGATTGGACCATACGACTTTAGATATGATTTCACTTCAAATGCTAATCAAATCGATTCTATTCTCGGTGAGTTATTTTAAAACAACCAGTAACTGCAAAATTTGAAAAAAACTTTTTTTAGATATTTGTTATCAATTGTTGCGATGCTCCGGAAATGCTCAGCAAGAACTTTTAAGAAATTTAAGCAAACTCTTAGATAAACAGAAATTTTTTGGTGGTGAAAATTTATCTATTGCCGACATAGCAGTTAGTAGTTCCTTAAAAAGAATTCAACAGGCCGCATTAAAAAATTTGCCAGAAAATATGAAAAAATGGCAAAATATTATAAAAAACATTTTATATTAATTCAGTAGGCGTATTTATATAACTTGATTTATTTATTATATTGATCTTGCTTTCCGATTGAATTTAATAAAATTCAAATTAAGTCTAATCAAAATTTTTATTAACTTACCATTAAAACATGAAATCTTCAATATCCCAAAAAATTTTTTTATAAAAATTAAAAAAATTTTTTTATTTTATTTTTATAAAATAATTAGGCTCAAAAATGAAACAACACAAACAAAATTTATTTTACAATAATTAAATTTTTATTATATTTTTAAAATTAAATTTTATGTATCTATTATCTGGCTTCCTAAGTTTAGTTTTTAAATTTATTATTTGAATAGCTATTACATTATAATTTTATTTTTTCTTTTTTCCTTTTTTACCCTTTTTTCGTCTTGCTTTAATAACCACTCGCCAAGCACGTTGAATAACTTTTGCAGCTCGATTTAAAATAAACATCATTAATTTGTGTTCAAAGGACTGCGAGTAAATACAAATTATTTTAAATATTAGTAATAATTAGTTAAAATTAATTTACTACATAAATTTTTTACATTTCTTCAAAAAACATGTAATAGTTATATATTTTCCTATCATAATAGTGAAGAAAAGGAGGAATAAATGGCATTCGTAATTAATGATAAAAAATCAATAAAAATTTAATTTTTATAAGACCAAAGCTTTTATGGTATTCGTACTTTTCATATATAAAACCCACAATATTATATTAATTTTTACCGAGTCAGAAAATTTTTGAAATATACATATACTATGTATGTACAATGGCAAAAAGGCAAAAAAACAAACAGGAACTTTACATTAATTACATTTTTAAACGCATGCTAATATCAATCTAGTGATTACACTTATTTTTCTTTTAATCATTCCAAAAGAGTATGGTAGGTTGCAAATCTTAATTTTTAATATCGGAAGTAGAACATTTTTTTATAAAAAAAAACATATTTTTCATTTCCTCTATCCTATTTTTTTTATAAAAAAATCTTCGTTTACTTTTACCAAAAGAATAGCTTTTTGAAAAAAAAAATGGTTTAGAAATATTGTTTTACCTTCTTTGCCTCAGTATCCTTCTGTTGCTTAAGAACAATATATTCACTATTTAGTTGATTAAATATTTCCATAAAATCATCAAATTTTTTTTGCATCTCTTGTCTTTCTTCATCAAGTCTCTCAATTTCCTTTATCTTTTCAAAATTTTCGTGATCAAATTTTTTTATAAATGCTTGCAACTGCAGTAACAAACGATTTCTTTTAAAACGAACAAAAGTAAATTTAAAAATTTAAATAGCAAAACAGCAAAATAAATGAACTTAATGTAAGTTTGATTACGTTCCTATATTTAACACTTATCAAATTTCAAAAAATTTATACCACTATCTGCCTAAAAAAATTATTTACTACAGAAAAATAAAACCAAAACTTTTAAGAAATATTTTAATGGTTTTGGTTTTTAATTTTTTTAACTTAAGCATACATATGTATATACATAGTATGTATGTATAATATACATATATACATAGTATATAGATACATAAACGTAGCTATTAGGTTTTATATGCTTATTCATATAATTTAACTTTTAATAGAGTTAATTTGTTAAAATTTAATACCGCCTTTGTCTGAGACTTTTGTCTTTTCGTAAATTCTCTGTCAAAATCTTAGAATAAGTTAATTTTGCTTCTTTTAGTTCTTCTTCAAGTTGAACTCGACGTTGCTCACTTTCAGTCCAAATTTCTTCCATTTTTTGATTAGAGTGCACCCTATAAAATGCATTAATATTATTTTAAATTCAATATTTAATTTTTTATAAAAATCAAAAGATCTAACATTTCTTTTTTAATTTTTATACTATTTTCCCATTTTTTAAACGATAAATCTTCCTTATATTTTTTTATAAGACCATCTTTAGTAAGTAATTTCCAATTTAAATTCGCTTCTTTTTCCATGAGTTGAGACATTAAAACTGTAATTGGATTTATACATAATTTTTTGTGTACATTCATATATTACAATAATATTATTAATTTACGTCCTGCATCTTTTCTAGTTTTAACACTTTCATGAAACATTTCATGTAACTGCTTGTCACGTAATGTTTCCGTTATATTTGATGCTGTTAATTTTACTTCTGCAATTTTTCTAATTTCTTTAATTGAATCTAAAAGCGTTTTACAAGTTTCACTCAAGGAATTTATATATTGATTTAGACATTGTCGAAACTCAACATTTTCATAAAAAATATCTATTACTGTAAGTAAACAGAAATCAAATTTTTTCGTTGCTACCATCATTGGATCCTTAAATTAAAATTAATTTAATCTTAAACTTGAAAATTTAATTATAGCAAATGTAAATATGTAAATGTATGACATGCTAGTTATTAAACAGTATGTGCTACATTTTATAATAAAAAAACCAATTACTTACGTATCCTTTTAAATTAGTATATTTTTCTAAATAACATCGAATTTTTAATATTGTATCTTCTGAAAAATATTTCGCTAATTCATTTGTATTATTAATAAGTTTCGGTAATATCAATGCTATTTTAAGTCTTTCAACCGATCCATCTAAAACATTCAAAACTCTTTCAACAAGTCTTAAATGTTCATGACTCTCTCCCATGGCAACATCTTAATATGAACGTACATGTGGGTATGTATGTAATATAAAAATTATATAATGTAAATATATGTATATAAATTTAATTTTAAAATTAATCGACTTTAATTTTTATATCACCTTTTGCACCACCTTCGTCAGACTCCATCATTGCTTTAAAAGAAGGTAAAGGGCCCTCTGTTTTAGATTCATTTGCCTGTTCATCCATTAGAAACTCTTTATATTTCCATAAACGTATGTAAGTATTTATCAAACAAATTTAATTAAAAAGTCAACTAAAAAATATTCAAAATTTTCTTTTTTATTCTTCATCAATGTTTCATGTTTAATAAACTTTAATAACGATAGGCTTGCTAACAAAAATATTATATTTTACAAGATTGTTTTTCTAATAATAAAATTGAAAAGACTTATCGATAAAACATTCTTATACTGTAATAGACCTTTTCTTTGTAGTATTGCTATGGCAAAAAATATGAAATGATGGTACCTAGATACAATAACGTACATAATTATTTAAGTGATTAACATTTAAATAAAATAATCATTCAAAATTGCTATAAAAATATTATTTTTTAATTTGTTCTATGTATATACATATGTATTCTGTGTATACGCATACATATGTATATATGTGTATTTTTTAAATTTTCAACCAATAAATTCTATTTATCGAATCAAGTTTACATAAATTTTGCTAAATTTGAAATGATGAGAATTGATGTTGCAGCAGTTTTTGTACCCCAAATCTTTTCCGGGCCTCTTTCTATCATTATCAATATTTTTTGCCAAATATGCAACCATATTGTATAGGTTCCGTAAATATATAGGGTGAAATTCGAAGGAGCTCTACAACTTTTGTTCGAGAACCGTTCAGAAAATCTATCCAACCAATAGATTCAAACCAGAATACCCCAGAATAGCGTGATCCCGATGGTAGTCTGAAACAAAAGATAACAAAAGTAAGTCAAAACATATTGGAGAAAACGTCTTGAAAAGCTTTGCAAGTTTTTGTCGGGACATTTTTGAATTGTTGCTTGTATGATTTATTTTTAGCTTTAAATATCCTCGCAAAAAGTGCAAATGAAATGCTTGCGTTGTTTTTATTCATTTAGTAAAAATTTGGTTTCTAAACTTAATTAATTGATTTTAAATGGATAAGGTAAGAGCACAGTCGCAGAAAATAAGGTAAATTCCAATAGATAGAAAATATGGTAAATTTTTTTACACTCCGAAATTTTGAAGTTTACAAGCAAATATATTTATTACTGCAGTAAAATTGCAATAAATCTAGAATAAAATTAAGAAATGTTGAAAAAACAAAACAAAATGATATTTTCAGAATTTCTAATCGTTTTTATTTTTAAACCGAATTACAGACATTAATAGTACATAATCAATTTGATCCTTAATAATTAAGTCTTATTTTTATCTTTTGCCCTCATTGTAGTTTAAAATAATCAAAAATATTTTTCAGTTTTTTTACTTTTATTTATTCATAAAATTATAGTTAACAAAAAAAAAGTCATACATGTATTAAACTAAATTTAAAATAAAAACCGAAATGTAGACATCTTATATCAGTTTTTTTTTTTTAGATACAGATGTTCAGTTAATGCATTTCAGTTTTGTTATTTTTTGGGAAATGAGACATTTTTTAAAATATTCGAACTTAAAAGCAAAATAACTTTTTTACTGAATTTAAATTTCGTTTTTCTTAAATAAACATAAAAAAAATAGTTTTTTTTTTTTTTACAAATACGTTTTAAATTTGAACTTTCTGCAGACACATTTGCGCAGTTACAGCTTTTTAAATTACGAATTAAATAAGTAATAAATAAAAAATTGCATCAGGACCATGGTTTCACTAATTTTTGGCATATAAACGTTCCATATTTGAAAATATTATCTCTTTTCTGAAACAACTTATATAGCACATCATCTTTTTCACCAAGTAGTGTTAAAATGTTAACAAAGAGGGTCAAGAAGTCTTATAATACACGTATTATAATACACAAATGTGCAAGTATCACATTTTGTAATCCTGTGATATTATAAAATTTTTATTTATAAAAAATATTTTTGAATAACATAATCCATTATATTATTTTTAAATTTTTTTGAGTTTTTTTTTATAGTTTGTTACTTTAAGACTTCCCTAGTTATTTTGATTCAAGTTAGAATACTGTAAATAACGTTCATTGTCTAATTAATTATGAAACGCATTTTTTTATGGTCTTTTCATTTTTTTTTTCTGTTTTCTTTTTTATTAAAATTAATTATGTATGAATCAATTTTTTATCTATTAAAATTTTTATTCAAGAAACGATGATTAATTGTACTGATTTTTAAGCTGTGAATCAAAATTTATTATAAATAAAATATTTCAAATTAATTAAAAAATTTCAAAATTATAAAAAAATTATGAAAAACAGAAAAAAATATTCGGTATTTCAGTAACCTTCACCTTAAACACTAAGCGTGATGCCGAAAATTCATTACTTTAAAATTAAATCCAAGCGGGAAAAATATAATTTCCAATGTGAGTGTATATTGAACAAAAAAAAAAATTAATTGTATTTTTAAATTAAATTTTTGTATTATAATAATAAAAAAGTACACAAACCTAAAGGGTAATTTTAAATATTTTTTTGTAAAAAAAAAAAAAAAAATTGTTAATACATTATTTTTGTATTTTTCTTTTACAATTTTTTATATACTATATTGCATACGTAAATATAGTCAAAATATATTAAATATCTATATACGTATACAATAATGAATGTATTTATATTCAGTTTGATAAAAAATATTATTTTTTTTTTATAATTATTGAAAGTTTTACATAAATAATATGCGGACATTTTATACCATTTGTTTTTAATTTACAGAACAAAAATTTTGCTGTTTATAAAACGAATCCTTAGTCTTTATATTACTTTTATCATATGTTAATAATTTACATTAGGTACGCACTATTTAGATTTAAATTTGTTGAAAAATTATTTTTGTATAATTTATTGTAAGGTTATGAAATAATAACTTTGTTGTTTAACATAACATAGTGCTAATTCCGATCGATATTTTACGATTTTAATTAAAATTGAAAAAATTTTTAAAAATTTAAAAAATTTTCCTTTTTTTTTTTGCAAAAACAAGTAACTAATTTTTTCTCTGAGTCTATGACCGTTGTTTTCAGAATGGAGCTTTTCGTGGTTCAGGCCGAGGTGTATTCAATACTGAACTAGTACCGTCTCTTGATCTAGGTGAACTTGCTTCTTCAAGTTCTGGAATTCATAAAAAAATCATATAATAATAAAAATGAGAGAAACAAGCAAGCAAAAATTTACCAGAATTATTATCTTTGTTTATTTCAAGAATATCAGATAAATCTCCGAATCCCCCATATGCTTGATAAGTTGCTACTTCAGAGCCTGAAAATAATTAAAACATTTAACTAATAATATAAAAGATCAATTAGTTATTTAATAACACACACAAAAATATTTCACTGTGTTATTTGAAAAAATAAACATATTATAGGTTCATTCTGTATCTTACATTATTTAGTCATTTATATTAGAATTATCTTTTTTTTTTAAATGAAAATGCTAATTTTTTACATCAGGAATGTTGACTAAATTTTGTATGTTTTAAGAAAAAATTAAGAACATAGTACAAAAAGCATTCTTTCAAAGAATATAAATGATAGCCAGTTATGTTTTTTTAACTAATGAGTTAAAATTAGATACAGAATGCATTTTTATCGTATTGAAGTTTTACCAGTTTTTCCATTATTGTTGTCTGGTAGATCATTGACCATTGAAAGTCCATAGGGGCCCAAAATATCAGAGTCGTTAAAGAGCTAAAAAGTATTATCAAATTAAGTTTTCAAAAATATAAAAGAAAAAACTTTATACTCATATATATGGCATGTAATAAAATTAGTGTTTGTAATTCAACATTATACACATTATGTAGGTGAAACAGCGAATAATTTTTAAACAAATGATTTAGTTAAAAATAATTTTTTAATTAAGTTTAAGTAAAGCATTTTTTTTTTTTCAATTAAAGACGCAAAATAATTTTAACAAAACAGATGTTAAGCACTTTGTTTATATTGTTCATATTATTTATCTAACCGTCGATTTCCATAATTACAACCCATTTTTATTCTAATTTAGCAATGATTCTATCAACGAACAGTTGATACAAAACATAATTAATTTTTTTGTTAAAATTATAAAATGTATTATCTACCTTTGTCCAAAAATCAGTTTCCACAGCTTGCGATGGATAAATTCGATTTGTTGAATTGCCATTCTTTTTAATTATATCATTAATAATATAGTATTTTTTTATTGAAAATAAAAATAAATAATATTATGTAACCACATTTTTTAGGTTTTTTTTTTTTTTGTAAATGTTAAATATTAAAAAGTTACTTCTTTTTGCGAAATTATTTACAAAAAAGAAATTAAAAATTCTAAGCGGATTTTATTTTGAATTGTAAATTTTTTTTGTAAACGGTATGACATCAGGCTAAGCCTGAAAGTCCACACAAAATTGTATTATTAATTTCTTGCAAAAAAAAATTCTAGTAAAATTTTCAAAGTGCTTTTTTTTGCTTTGATTTAAAAAAAATTTATACATATTCAATGCCTGGGTAGCCAAAAATTTTTAATTTTTAATAAAATAAAATAATCTTATATTATAAAACTTAAAAGAACAGTATTATATTTAAAATGTATAAAAGAAAACATTCTAAAAAATTTTTCAAAAAAGTTTTTGCAATTTTTAATATTGATTGCCAGCAGCATTGCAGCGTTGTAGTTGATTTTCATCAACATTTGTTGTTTCACTACTGCCTTTGGCTATCAAATCCAATATAAAATCCATATCTTCATCACTGATATCATTTTTTTTATAACAATTATTATTATTAAAATTCTGCTCTTTGTAATGACTTACTCCCGATAAAGTTGTCGTATCAAATGAATACGAGTCTCCTTTCAGTAAATCTTTTAAGTTTTCTAGGTCATCTTGAACATTATCCAAATGATTGTGGAAATCCTCGCTAAAATGGTAAAAGCTATGAATGACAAAAGCGGTAAAACATGTATAAAAATACTAACGGTGATTGTAATTTCATTATATCTTCACTAGATTTCTGAGTTGAATATTTAACTACCGTCATTTCGTTCTTTTCATTATCGTTTTTCTTATTAGATTCACCGCTTTGATCAATTTTCGATTGTATTTCTTTAGATGTAGAAGGGACTGGTGTTTGTGTTTCAAGAGAAGTTGATCCTAAATTTATGTCGCAAGTCATTGAAGAGTCCTTAAATATTGGAGAATCTTTTTTGAAAAAAATATTTACATATTGCTTAAAGTATTTGCATATTGCTAAAAATATTTACATATTGTTAAAAATATTTACATATTGTATATATTTTTTAAGCCTAGTTATTTTTCCTTTTTTTTTTCAAAAAAAAAAAAAAAAGAAATTAACTTTGAAGTTCACCTATTTTTGCCTAATTCTCCCAGAGAATGTTATTAACGTTTCTTTAAAAAGTTTTGCTGATTGTACTTAAACATAACGTATAATGAGTTTTAATTTATTTTCCAAAAATTTTTTTATCTTAATACTAACAAAGTAATTTCTTATTATGTACTATTAATTTCTTTGAAAATAAGATAAGATATCCCCCATACCCGAATTTTTTTCAAAATTAACTAAGCTTAATACCTCAAATAAATCTGATGGCATGTCAGTATTCAAAAAATCTCCTTCATACATAGATTTGCCTTGCGATAATGATTGTGTGGTTTTATTTTTGTCAGATTCGTTTGAATGAATATGTGCATCATTGTTCTCAGTAGAATTATTCTCGACATTTGTTGTTGTTTCTGTATTGGATGACATTAAAGCCGAATCAATCGCTGGTGATAAACTGCAAGAGTTTGTTGGAGATGGAGTTTTCAAAAACATTAGGGGGTCCAGTTCATTTTTTTCAGCTTTAATATTGAGTTGTTCATTAGTATTTCTGGGAGTTTTTACATATTCCACTGTAAGAGGCGAATCTCTGACATGCTTTCTTTTTCTTGAATTTTTTTCAATTTGCTTTCCTGGTATATAGTTGTCGTGCTTAGTTTTTTCCTCCTTGACCATCGGTGTTGGTAAAATTCCCATATCTACAAAATTCAGTGGTTCAGAGTCAGCTTCATTACTTTCTGGTAATTCTCTTATTTGGTAAACCCATTGATTTTCGGAATTACTGCCATTACTATTAGTGTTTGAAGTAAACAGTTTTGCATCTTCAATACTTTGATTAGATTGTTGTTCATAAAATTGACTTGATACACTTAAATTTGAGTTCGGTCTTTCTATATTTGAGCGCGGTGAAAGGGATTCTATGTGTGTTGGTTCAGTTTCTCCACTTACAGTTGTCATAGGCGGACTAGGTGGACCACTCCTACAATAATATAAAAGTAAATATAAAAAAATATTTTGCAAACACAAACAACATAATTTACATTAAATCTTCGTCGTTTCCTTCAACATCAGCAACTTCATCTAATAATTCCTCAGTCAACTCATGAATTACTGGACCAGATTCACTTTCACTAGGTTTCCTACTTGTTGAAGATTGTGGAGCGTCATTTATCATTAGTTGAAAAGTCCGTTTAACACCACTCATGTTTCTCGAAGGTTGTACGATGGTTACCAAAAATTGTATTAACTAAAAAGAAATAATTAAAAAAAAATCTTTTTAATTTAATAATAAACATAAAAAAAAAATTTTGTCAGAAGTGGGATTCGAACCCACGCCCTCAATCGAGGACCAGAACGCTCAGATTACCTTAAATCAGGCAAGATTTCTCTTGAGTCTGGCGCCTTAGACCGCTCGGCCATCCTGACATATTACTAAATATTCTTTAATATCATTTAAAAAACAAAATCTATTAAATATCAAACTGTACCATAGACACAAACCAAATTACCCATATTATTTTCTCAATTAATAAGTAAATTGGTATATAAGAAACAGTTTAGTTTATTTTAGATATTAAAATAATTAAAATTAAATTATAATTATTTTAACCATTAAAGCTTTAATTTAAAAGTTTTCTTGATAAACTGCAAAGTCTACATGGATAATGTTATAACAATAATATTACCCGTCTGTCTATAGTATTACCGAAAAGATTTAACTTTATATTATAAAATTTGAGTCAAATTTTTAATGGAAAATTTTTTTCATAATGTATTGTCTCAAACATACTTTCAAATCTTTAAACATAAAAAAGAAGAATAAAATTGATGTCCAATTAAAAAAAAAAACAATTTTCTTAAAAATAAGTATAGTTTTCGGTTGTTCCCTTGTTGAAAATAAACAATTGTTAGGGTGACACATTTTAAAACAATAAACGTTTTAAATAAAATATCAATGATTAAACTACCGCTTTTACTTTTATTTTTTAATTTCTTTCGTCAAAACTAGAATATTTATTTTTTTGAGGGAGTCATTCATTATTTTGTGAGACATTTTTTTTAAATCATAAAATTCATAGTTCTTTAACAGTTCACAGTTCGTTTAAGTTACAGATGGTAAATAATATAACTTTTCTGGATCAAAAGTGTACTACTTATTTATAAACATTTTAATTATTGTGAATGCTTTGAAAATATTCAATTGTGAATTTACGATATATGTATAGGTACTTATTTGATAATGATTTTTTTCAGTGAAAATACATATTTTCGCGTTATACTTGAACCCTTATAAATTGAAAACAACATTTTAGCAAATAATTGTTATAATGTCAGGATGGCCGAGCGGTCTAAGGCGCCAGACTCAAGAGAAATCTTGCCTGATTTAAGGTAATCTGAGCGTTCTGGTCCTCGATTGAGGGCGTGGGTTCGAATCCCACTTCTGACAAATTTTTTTTTTTTTATAAATATTGAATTTTTAAATGTTTTTCAATATTATGGCAAAATATTTTTTAACATTTTAAATATTTCATTAATTTAAAATGTAATAAAACACTTTTTTATAAATTTTTAACAACAAATGTAAATTAAAAAAAAAATTAAATGTTCTCTTACCTTATTAACAATTTGTTGCTGCTTAATATGTTTTTGACGTAAATTAGCAATTTCACGCCATAACGCTTCATTTTCTTGTTTCATTACAGAAAATCTCGAATCTAATGAATCTTGTCTTCCCCGCATTGCTTTGACTTCATTCAAAACTTTGCTAACTGATTCCACTTTAATTCCAGCTTTATCATCAATTAGTTGTTGATGTTGTTTAGTATTTGCAATTTTCCTTTTTATATGTTCAAGAAGATAAGGACAACCACGTTTAAAGCAAGGATGGGTGAATTCCATTTCGTCGCGGTCAAATTTTAATCCTCCGTTATCAATTGAAGTAATTTTATGAAATCCATCTAAATATTAATTAAAAAAAGAATACATATGTAGCCCAACAAATGATCATGATAAATTTTTTAAAAAATTATAGAAGTTTACTACTTCCTATAGAATTTACTTCAAAAACTTACACATATTCAGTTGTCTTATGAAACTTGCCATATTATTGTGTTTATAATTTAATGGTAAAAGCTCCCTAGCGAATTGCGCTTGGTTCTGAATGATAAAACTTCTTCCATCCTATAGAAATTAATAAATTTTTTAAATGTTTAATGAATTTAATGTTTTTATTTTGAGAAATAATTCGAGTATTTGAAATTCATATATTGTAATACTTATATACTTATTTATAAGCTACCTACAAGCTAATTGGTCAGAAATAAGTCTATATAAAAATTTACAATGCACATATTTAAAGTGATACCTTCAAATTTTTACGTCTTAAAATTAATAAGTCTGACTTTATATACCTTCGCCTACTTAATATATTTTAAAAACATGACATAACTGTAGGCTAGTAGTTTTATATTCATATTATGCATTTACGAAATGGTGAATTTAAGAAATAAATAATATAGGTATATTGATAATTTGATGTTGCTTTACAAAAATATATTGTAATTTCTTCCTCTACAATATTTTTAATTAGTTTCATATGTCTTTTGATTTGATAGTTTTTTGTTTCACAAGCTAACGTTAAAGATCATAAAACGGAAGTAATGAGTATATGAGTATATATAATATATATATATATATATAATGTGTATATGTTACCAAATGCACCTGCCATATAATATGTAGGAAATTATGGTTTGCAATCTTAAATTTCATTACATATTTTACAAATATGTCGTATTATGACTTAAAAAAGTTTTGAAGACATTTCCGACAAAATATAAGTAGGTGGATACTTTCCAGTTACATACATACAAATTTCCAAAAAAATTTAATTATGTAATGTAATTTTTAATATTATAACCTATTATATAAAAACAAATAAAAAAATTAATTTAAAACAAAATAGCATATGAAACATCAAAGCCAGGAACACCTGATGGAAACAGTAAGAAAAGGATAATATGTATCACAAGAATATCCAATAACAATATATATGAATAAATGAATGTAGGTACCCGATAAAAACACGTAGAAAATTGTTGTTTTGAGCTTAAAATATACGCCAATATTTTACGGCAGAATATTTTTTATATGAATCAAATTTCATAAATTTAAGAAAATTAAGTTTATACATTTTAGTAAGATAACATATATCGCAAAGATATTATATTTTAAAGTAAGAAAAAAACAATAAGAAACTTGAACCATTTTTATCATAATTAAAAATGATATTTTTCCTTATATATGTTAGTATTTACAATACTTCAATTATTTTTTTAATATATAATGTTTTATTATTAATTTTCGTAAATTGATAATTATTTATGCCTTTTTAAATAAATAATATGTACATTCAAACACATAGGTAGTACACATATACATTTAATATTTATTAATGTATATACATATGTAGTTATTTTAAAAATTTTCCTTAATACCTATTCAACAAATTTACTTTTACCTTAATTTAATCGTGGGTGAACTATATATACAAAAAACATCAACTTTTGATGACGTAAAATCTATAATTATTTCAAAAAAAAAACTTAATGATAAATGCAAAGTCGAATTTGGACATTACTTTTATTTTCTGTCCATAACCTAGCCTAGGTTTGACCTCGAAAATTTCATTTACTAAAATGTCTAACACTTAATGCGTAAAAGTTAACTAACATATTTTAGTAGAAAACTGAAATCCTACAAAGTTATTTCTAAAACACAGAAATATGTTTAAACCAAAACCAAAAAAAAAATTTCTGTTGCAAAAGTCGGCGGTGTAGCCATTTTTTTTTAATAGTTGTTTTTCTTGAAAGTTTTAATAACAATTAAAATTTTTTAACAATTCAAAATTATCTTTTGAAATGTAAATATCTTTTTACCTTACTCCAATATATTAGATTATTTGTCTCTGGATCTTCAACCAAACGCCATAATTTTGCCAGAAAGGCTGGAACTCCAGCCCCTGTATCACTAAATGTATGCATTTCACAGTATGATTTTTATCAACAGTCTTTATTTTTAATACAATTCAGAACAGAAGTGCATAAATTGAATTAAAATTTTTAAATAATTCAATATTTAAAAAAATAATAATTTTAAGATCGGTTCTTTATTTTTTAATAATTTTTTATCAATTAATGAATGCACTTTTTATATAATTGTGCTTTTTTCCCCCAAATCAAAGAAGAAAATACAAAAATTAAAATTTTTATAGAAATTTCACAATAGCTATTCTTTTAATTAATTTTTTTACTTAATAAATCGAATCACGACGTATATCATTTCGTTTTGCTTTTTCGACTATTTTTGTCTCTTTTTCTAATTTGCTCAACTTGACATTTACAATACAACTAAATATTTTCCCTAAAAACATTTATATATTAACCAATCAACTGATTACTTGACGTCAATTTGCGAGTAAGCTCTTCTAGTTGTTTCTAGGGTTTTCAATACGTTTTAAATAATAGACGTATAAAGCATAGACAAAATTTTTCGCTCAATATTGAAAATCAGCTGATTTCCCATTTTGAGATTTTAGTAGTCCGGTCTCTGACTCCAAAAAATTTCTGATATTTCCAAAAATTTTGCAGTAATTTCACTCTTTCATAATTAATTAATGTTTCACAATGAAAATATAAAAGAGCAAAGAAATCGGTTAAACATGGGCAAAAGTGACAATTAAACCAGTAGTAAAAATCCAGTTGCTGGCAGTGGTTTTCTTTGAAAGAACACTAACAATAAAAAAATGGGTTGTAAGTAAAATTTCAAGAAAATTCGTCGAATACTTTCTTGAAAATATCAACCATACAATCCAGTTGCTTAAACCTGATATAACTCAAAAACTTATCAAATCGTTTTATAGTCAAAGTAAACTCAAATATAAATCTTAATTAAAATGGGCTCAGTTAAAATTGAAATATCGAAGACAAATAGCCGCTATCGTCAATCTTTTCATTTTATTATACAGTAAAAATATTTTTTGAATATGAGAGAGAACTGTCAGAAAAAAATGATATAACAATAATAACTATGACATAAATCGTAAAGCTCAAATTCTGATCCAAAACGCAAATTGTAGCAATGTATATTTTTTTAGAAAACAACAAATTTGCTTAGTACACATTACTTTCAAGCACTTTACTAGCGCTAGGTTTGCGATTATATTTGCAAATTAAATGTCATGGAAATATATATTTTTCTTAAACATTTTTCAGTATATAGGAATCCATTTTCTCCGAAAAATTGACACTTAAGATTAGGTTGTGCCACAATGCAAATTTCGATATACATTACCGCAAACAATGTATAACGAAAAAATACTTTCTTTATATGCATACGAAGTGTTAAATATTGTGTATGAACCTAATCATTCATATATATCTTTTTATTCGCCGAGCACAAAGAAAATAAAGTATTTATTCATGTATCGTTAATATTCAGGTGGTAATATTCGCATCGCATACTTACAACTTCTTTTTAATGTGTGACAGATATTGTGACAAGTTCAAATGATATTTTGGAAAAAAACTCCAGTTGAAATCTGTAATCTTATTAGAATAATCACATATCCAGTTAAAAAAAAACGAATGTTCTGATTATACGATTACGAGCTGTGCGTTTACGTCTCGTTTAAGGTACTTTTTTTGTGCTATATAATTTTCCATTTGAATTGATCGCCTAGTCACTACTTTTATTAAAAAAAAAGTTTTTTTCAATTGGTTACGAAAATAAGATAAGACCATAAAAATAAGTCATAAAATTGTGAATAATGCTCTGAGTATTTGATATAAATTTTTTTTTTTAATTTGTTTAATTTTTTTGTAGGCCGTTTCTACATTAAATTGTGGTTTTAATTGTAAAATACGGAAAATGTCGCAGAAATTTTCATGTCAACTTTGTGTTTTCATTTCCGTTGTAGCTTTTATATATTTATGTTATGCTAAGGATTTCATTTCAAATTTTACTATACATACGTATTCTAAAAATTTTCCATACAGTACAGAACAGATCAACAACGGAATCTAATGTTAAATTTGAAATAAAAACCTAGGACATGACTAGGACGGATCAGTAACACAGTCTAATCTATAGAATAATTTACAATAACAATAGGATTAAGTAAATCTAAAAAACTAAAGTAAATTAAGAAAACACTAGGAACTATGAGGGTACAAAAACGGAAAAAGAAATTCCTTAAATTTTTAAACTTCCCAATAATGAAAAATTGTGTACAAAATGACTCAAGCTTGTCTATAAATAAACTGTAAATGCTTTAGGTGTGTCTTCATTTGTGAACCTGAATATTCTAAAAAAGAAAAAAGTTGCTTCTATACTATTATTTTTAAAATTGCAAAGAATATGTGTATTTTTATGTGCATATATGCATATATAGAGTTGGGCTTGGGACCTCTGCTTGAAAATGACATTTGGCTAAGTCATTTCAGATTTTAGTAAACTTTCGAAATTCTTAATACATATTGTGCATACAGTAAAAGCTGCTTTACTTTTGTTTGGGGTTTTGCAGTTTGAAATTCCTGTGTACATATTTGTTTGAATTTTTTATTTGTGAAAAACATTTTTTTTATATGTTTGCAATTCTAATTACCAATTGCAAAAATTATTCAAAATAAATAAAAACAAATGTTTTTTTTAATTTTGTATATTACTTTTTAACAATTTACTATAATCAACTAGAATATTGTATATTTTACTATCATTTTCACACTGATCTAAAGGTGAAAGCCCCGAATAACTTTTCAAATCAATATCTGCAAAATTGCACAAAAAGATTTTTACAAAAATTTCATTTTTATTTTGAACCGCTTGATTTAATGGACTCAAACCGTGTTTTAGATCTCTGATGTTTATAATTTTACTCTTTTTCAAGCGAATGTCCGGCAAACATTCCAAATTTTCCAAACTTTCATTCATTTTTGCATTATAGTATAGCAAAAGTTTTTCTTTCGATAAATTTCCATTTTCAACCTTCACAAATTTAACCTTCAAAATGCTATTAATTTTTTCAAACAATAAATGACAAAAAATGGGCTTATCTTTATTAACACAAAAATGAAATATTGTTTGTCCTTCGCAATTAGTATTTTCTAAATATTTTAATGTGCTTATGTCAGGAAAAAAAGAATCCAGTAAATTTTTAAACAGTTCTATATGGGCTGAATTTTCATATAAACAATCGACTGCTAAATAAATTAAGTTATTTTCATCTTCATCTATTTCATGGATTAGGGCAGAACAGCATTTCATTAATTCTTCAAAAATATTTTTTTTACAACAATGGATAATTGCAAATTGCAATAAATTTGTTTCCTCATTTCTTACTAAGACGTCTTTTAAATCAATCCCAATAAATTTAAAAATGTACAGCTGCCTTTTTACTTTTTTTAAATCATTTGATCGTATTGCTTCATGTATGGGCAGAAGTCCTACCTCTTCCAAATACGTTAAACAGCTATTATATTCTTCCTTCATTGTACTTATAAGCTTTTCTTGTGGTTTGCTTGGAAGACACATTTCTTCTATAAAATAATCTCCAAGATTCATAATGTTGCTCAAAAGCGGATCTAAAGCGGGCATATTTTCTACTAAATCATTTTCGTTATTAACATTTCTATGTTTATTTTCTTCTCCAGAAAGAAACGAACTTTCTATTTTCTCATACCGTTGTTTTATCGATCTATCGTTTTGTATTAAAACTTTCTTTGTTTCTCCAGAAGATTTTTCTGCTCTAGGACCTCGCAGCTTCCGTTTTCTCTTTTTTTTGTCTTCCGGTTTTGTAGGCGAGGAAGGATTATTCGGAGTTGAATTTTGAACCATTTCAAAATCTTCTATAACGGTTTGCGTGCCTTTTTCTTCAAATTCTTTGTTTACGCATTTGCAAATATCTGAAGTCTTTGAACCGCTAATAGCTAAACGAAAAAATTATTTTGTGATGTAGTCGCAACTGACTGATATGTTTTACAAATCGTCAAAATAGAATTTTTGTCTTACCTTCTAATACTCTTTGAACCACCTCCTGATCATCAATTTTAAATAACGCGACAAATAAATCCTTATACTGCGGCAAAACTTCTTTTATTCCTAGAAGTTTATATTTAGCAGGAGAATTGGACATTTTAAATTATAATTTAAATTTACAATTTGGTAATTCCCCAGAAAGATATAATTTTTCTTTTAACACAATCAAATAAAGGGTGTTTTTAATTAATTTTCTTTTAGGTCATTTAACTGTCATTTAATTTTCAAGTAGAATAATGTCATTATATCTGTTCAATTATTTACCATTTTAAATTTAATGGATTTGCAGTATAAAAATGATTGGAAATTTTTTACATAAACAATTTGTAATTAATAAACTTTTTCCGCTAAAAAAAATGTTCTATTTTTATTAAAGATAATTTAATAAAAATTTTCTATTTTCGAAGACAAGTAAAATGCATTTTAAATTTTTATAACAAATTAGATAATTTGTTTTGCAAGATTTCTTTAAAAAGGAATATTTTTTCGAATTTATTAGTTTTTTGACAGACATAATTGATTGTCAAAACAAATGAGTTATCAAAGTATAATTTTTGTTCGAAATAAGGGTGGATAGCAAATCCCTAATGAGAGAAAAACATGGATATACTCTATTAATTTAAAAATTCTATTGTACGTACTATTTAAATGTTTTTCAATTTTTAAGTCACGCAAAATTTTTATTTTTTTTGGATGTTTGCAGTTTGCTTTAACAGTTCATTCAAATGAATTTACGGATAACTTGTTTCGTAAAATATATATATAAAGTTTACATTGACAGTGCGCCAAATAGATTCTCTCAGAACACATTATTGACAAAAAAAATATTCTTATAAAAAAGTGTGATGTGTAAACACTGTTTAATGATATCAAATCAACAGACATTATTATGAATTTTTATGTTGGGGAAAATGCTAAAAATCTGATTGTACATAGTTTGTTTTTTGTTTACTAACTTTATACTAAACGAAAAAAAGTTATTTTTTATAAATTATTTTTTTTTAATGGATATAGAATCAAGTAAATTTAAATGTGGAGAGATATTTTTATCTAAAACTTCAACTTATATTTTTGTTTGCTGGTATTGTAAAACAAACTTTGATAATTTCTTGTCGTTCCGAAATCATAATGAAATATTCCACAATGAGCTTAGGAAAATAAACAAGGATATTCTAATAGATGTAAAAGATGAACATTTATTAGAAACCCTAGAAGAAGGTAAAATATATGAACATGTTGAAATCGAAAAATATGAGGTTAGTTCCGGGAAAAGTTCAGATAGTTTGGAAGCGCCGATTTGGCCAAAAGAAGAATATATCACGGAAAACTATGAAGACGAGAATGACAGCGCAATTTGCGAAAATTCTTCAATTCAAAAAACGTGTATAAATTTTGTACATGATGAAAAGATCCTTGTAAAAAATTTAAATTTTATTTCTCGAATCTCAAAAGGATCAAATCATGTTGATTTAGAAGTGGAGGATAATGGAGACGAAGTATTAGTAGATCTTGGTGATCAGAAAGATAAAATATTGTTAATAGAACGGTTTGATAATGGTGAAAAACTTTATGAAAAGGAACATATAAAAACGAATCATGAAGACAAAATATCGTATGATGTTATTTGCAAACAGTTGTACAAAACTTCTCAACATCACAATAGACAAAAATGTACGGCGACTGAAAGCATGACTAAAAATCATAACAATAATAGTGATTTACTGCAATGTGAGGATTATTTTTTGTGTAAAGAATGTCCACGATATTTTGATAAACTAGAAAAATTAGCATTCCATAAACGTTCCCATAAAGCGACCTGCCAAATCTGTGATAAAAAATATATTAGTTTAGAGCGTCATATGAAATCCGAACATCCTGAAAGAAACTTTACCAACATAAAGACTGAAAGAAAAAATAGTAGTGAAAGCCTCCAATGTGGATTTTGTAACAAAAAATTCAAACTCTTAGTTCATTTACATAAACATGAACTAAATCATCAAAATCTCAGGTGTTGTTATTGTATGAAAAGTTTTAATGCTCCTATACTATTAAAAAATCATATTCGAACACACACAGGAGAAAAGCCCTTTCAATGTTCGGAATGCCCAGCGGCGTTTGCATTAAAAAGGAATTTAACTACCCATTTTATTTATAAACATACTGATGATAAACCTTTCGAGTGCAGACATGAAAGTGGTTGCGGAAAAACTTTCAAAACTGAACAATTACGAAATAACCACGAAAAACGACATAGTCAGAAGGTAGAGTTTCAATGTGAAATATGTGGGATGGATTTCAACGTTAAGGTACTACATTCAATTTTGTTAATTGTATAATTTCAAAAATTTTTTGTAGGCTAAACTAAGAATGCATCACAAAAAGAAACACATGGATTACAGTCAACGGCCACATCCTTGCAACTTTTGCGATAAGAAATTTGTTGAAAAGGATCAATTAAGAGAACATGAACGCACTCATACAGGAGAAAAGCCCCTTAAGTGCAATTTATGTTCAAGCAGTTTTGCAAAAAAAAGTTCTCTTCGAGAACATAAAAAGTTACATTCGGGTGAAAAAAAACATGTTTGCAAGCTTTGTGGGAAAGCATTTGCTCAATTAGCTGGATACTCAAACCATATGAAAAATCATCCCTGAAAATGACTATAGCTTGTAAATAGGAAATTTTATATGTAATTAAAATTTAAAGGATTTGAAAACCTAAACCCCCTCGTTAAAATTTTTTTTAAATATTGTTGTTAAAAACAAAATAATCTTTTCTTTTTTTGCATTTAATTTTTTCTTGAATTTAATAAATTAATAAAAAAGTTTGTTTTTATAAATTTATATTTAAGAATCACTTAGACTTTTGTTTTACTCAAAAGAAGTAAAATATTAGAAGCTAAATTTATAAAAATTAATTTCGATTTCTAAAAACATCTGCTAATAATTTTACGCGGTTGCAAATTGTGCAGCTGCAATCGAAACCAACATATCCAAATATTTTATTAAAGCGCTGAATTTTTGCATCCTTCATAAAAGATAAAAATAAATTAAAATAAATTTTAAATATACATAAAAAATAAAAATATACCATTAATTTATTACTTGATGAACAAAACCGTGAAAATTTTATGACTCGCAATCTCGGAAAATGTTTTATTGATAAATATAATATCTCTTCAGTATCAAAATCATTTTGAAATTCAAGTTCTTCAATAAATTTACATTTTTTTATTAATACCTTTGTTCCAGCCAAAGAAAGTTCGGGTATTCTTATTACTTTTAATTTTTCTAAATTAAAATCATGCAAAATGAAATGATCCGTTATATTGGAACACCCAATTAGGTTTAAAACTTGAAGATTAGTTAATCGATTGATTGAAACGCCATCTTGTCTTTCGGTTTCTTCTTCATATCCGGTTATTCCAAAATCGGTTAACTTAATTAAAAAAAAATATATTTCAAAAATATACTTTTACTTTTTTCAAAAATTTACCCAGGAACAACCACATAAATCTAAGACTTCTAGCGCTGTTAAATTTTTTAAAATTGCTTGCAAAGCATAATCTGTTATTCTACATTGAATTCTGCCAGTAACAATAGGATACCTATAAATCAATTCTTTTAGATTTGGTAAATGCTCACTTATTTTAATCATGCAGTCCGTATTAATATCTAAAAATATCATATGTAATTTGCGTAATTTCAAGTTGATATTTTTAAGTATTCCATTCTTTATTCCGCCACTATTAATACCAGTTATAATACCACTGCATTCAGAAATTTTTAATTCTTCTAATAAAGGCAGCTCTCCAATGGCTATTGCACTAACGTTTGTCAAATTGTGACAGCTTCTTAATTCGAACGATCTCAAGTACCGGAAATTTTCTTTGATGAAAACAACATCAGCATCTGAGAAAGAATTAGTTTGAACTATGCTTAATAAAGCCAAGTTTTTACTATTTTTTTTTAAACAGTTAAATATTTTAGGTTTACAACAATTCTGAAAATTAGAAATTTTCACGTGTTGCAGACTTAGACATTGGTTTTGCAATATAGGTAAAATCAAATTACAACAGATTACGACAACTTCTTCAGTGGATTTCAAAACTGTAACTTCAAATACTTTCAAATTATTTTTTGGGATTAAAGTGGCTATTTTAAACAAAATTGATCTAGAAGCATTTGATATATCAATATATCGTAAGATTTTTAAATTAGGTAACATTATGTTTTCATCGATTATATTAGTAACACTAGTAATGTCGCATTCATCTTCCTTGAATGTGCATTTGATAATTTTTAATTCGATTAAATTAATTGTTTCTCTTAAAATTATAAATATTTCATTTTCAGCTAATTCCAACGATTCAAACGTTAATGATTGAAGCTGCAAATGAGATCGTAGTAAAAGACTGCCGAATAGTTTAATATTCGAATTTTCAAAATGAATATTAATAAATTGACGGCTACTTTTCACCAGTACATTTTCTGGGCTTTGTTCTATAGTTGTAATGTTATTGATTTTCAATAATGTTTCGGAAAGCAATTTTGGATGTTGTAATATACATAAAAACCTTCGACACACCCGACTAATTGATAATAAATCATAATGATCCAAATTTTGAAAAATTTTTATTATAATCTGAAAGCAAAACATTATGTTTTAACAAATATTTCAGACAAATATGTATTATGTTTAGGTACTTTTTAAAAATAAAAAAGTTACCATTCATTTTATACATAATATCTAAATTCAAAAATATTCATAACAAAAAAGTTGAAAAGCTTAGAAAGTACATTTATTATATAGGTCTGTACTTGTTCAAATTTGAAAACAAGTATCTATAACAACCTATAAGAAGTTGTATAATATATTTTCAAATATTTTACGATGTTTTATTTTGTTTATTAAATAAATTTTTTAATATTTATAATTTTTCTTACCTCCGTAGGCAAGCTGTCGAAACCCGTTTCATTTTTAACGAAACTGAAATCCATATTTTTTAATTTTTAAATTATGTGCGCCATAGCTTTTATTTTAAAATATAAATTGTCTAAAAAACAATTTTGACTTTATCATAAAATATAATAATAATCAAACGTCAGCATCTTGCATAATTGGTTTTTTGAAAATATGACGTACGTGTAATGTGTATATGTATTTGCATGTGTAAATTGCGTTTAGAAAATTTTTTGTTCCCTTATTTTTTCTGAACCTATCTTTTTTTTATAATTTATGCGTACTCAAGACGTTTTTAAGAACTGAAAAAAATTATAATCTATAAATGTTGAACAAAATGCATTTTTCATAAATTTTGAACAGAATACACATATTTAAATGGAACTGCCAAGAATCAAGCGAAATAACCGCCTGGAATTCTGCGGTGGTGAAAAAGCTTCAAATCCTATTTTGCAGTTGGTGGTTTTTTTTTTGACATTCCATGTTGTGTTAAATTATATTTACTGTAAATCGTCCCCCGTTGCCGCTCGCCGCTTTGGTTATGTTTTTACAGCTATATGGATAATTCGAGAAGATTTCAAGACAAGTACTCAAACTGCCATATAAACGAAATAACTATTTGATGAGAATAGGATATTTTCTATTATTTGTCATCAAACGAAGTAAACTTGTTTATGCAAAATTTTAATACAACTTTAATATAGTTAATATTTCATTAGACTTTTTCATTTAAATAATTTCTTTTAAAAAATTTTGATTTAAGTTTAAAATTTAATTTTAATAGCTGCAGCTCGTTTTGTAGAGTCCATTTTAAACTTGACAGCTTCGGTTTGTGGTAAAAATTTTGACACTATTGCAAAGTAAAGCAAAATATTTGAAAGAATAAAACATTTTCGACCTCATTCTTTATTAAATTCAATTTACCTGTATAATATAATATTAGTTATTTAAATAAAAAGTAAAACAGAAATTTCAGAAAACATAGTCAAATGCAGCAAATATGATATGTTTAGAAAAGCTTTGTTTGCTCCAATAGGTAAAAGTCCCAACACAGACTTTGACTTTTACTTCTTACATGTAATTTGTAAATTATAGGAATAGGACGGACGACGTAAATACAGAAATTTCGTTTATTTTATACTTTTTTTTGTTTTATTTTTTATTTTCCGGAAAAACTATAAATCAGCAAATTATTTTGGTACCTATAAAATGAAGAAAATTGAGGTTGAAATTTTTAAATAAATCATTTTTGTTTTAATAGATTCCTAGTTGTGAATAGTAACCACACCTATAAACTATAATAAATACAAGCAATTAGCACATACAAAGTTTAATAATGGAGGAATTAAAAAATTTTTTGCGTGATGCTGCTGGAGAAGTAATAAGTGATATAAAAACTGCAGCAATTGAGAAAGCTAATGAATTTCTTGGAACTGCAGTCAACGAAGTTTTTCTAAAAAAAGAATCTGAGCACAAAAAAGTTTTGCCGTGTGTTAGAAATATGAAAGTATTAAACCTTGAGTCATCGGGATTTTCCCAACAAAAATATAAAAGTTCAAGAAGATCCCGAGTCGAAATTCAAGATTATGAAAGTTTAAAAAATAAATGTTTAGATAATGGGTCACTGTTTGAAGATCCATTATTTCCAGCTTCTGATGAATCTCTACTTTTTTCTCGACGTTCTGATAGGTACTTCGAGTGGTTAAGACCTCATGAAATTTCAAATAGTCCGCAATTTTTTGTTGAAGGATATTCTCGATTTGACATACAACAAGGAGAGCTTGGCGATTGTTGGTTGTTAGCTGCAACAGCAAACTTAACCCAAGATTCGAATTTATTTTTTAGGGTTGTACCACCAGATCAAAGTTTCGAGGACAACTACGCTGGAATTTTCCACTTTTGTTTTTGGCAATACGGCAAATGGGTTGATGTTGTAATAGATGATCGTTTGCCAACCTATCGTGGGAAACTAATGTATATGAATTCGACAGATAAAAACGAGTTCTGGAGTGCTTTGCTGGAAAAAGCTTACGCCAAATTACATGGATCTTATGAGGCATTGAAGGGTGGTACTATGATAGAAGCAATGGAAGATTTAACTGGTGGAGTTGGGGAGATGTACGAAACAAAAGATGCTCCGTCAAATCTGTTTGATATCATGCTTAAGGCATATGAAAGGAATTCTATGATGGGATGCAGCTTGGAACCAGACCCACATGTGTTTGAAGCTGAAACTGAGAAAGGGCTCATACGTGGCCATGCGTACTCTATAACTAAGGTCTCTTTAATGGACATAGCAACACCAAACCGACGAGGTAAAATACCCTTACTTCGTTTGCGTAATCCATGGGGGAATGAGGCTGAATGGAATGGTGCGTGGAGTGATCATTCTCCTGAATGGCGATTTATTCCTGATAGTGAAAAAGAAAGGATTGGTCTAAACTTTGATAGAGATGGAGAATTTTGGATGTCTTTCCACGATTTCCTTAGTAATTTTGATCGCGTTGAAATTTGTAATATGTCCCCAGATTCTCTCTCAGAAGAACAAAGACACGATGGTCGCCGTCGGTGGGAAATGTCAGTTTTTGAAGGAGAATGGACACCTGGTGTAACGGCAGGTGGCTGCCGAAATTTTTTAGATACGTTTTGGCACAACCCTCAGTATGTTATTCATTTGGAAGATCCTGATGAAGAAGACGATGATGGTAAATGTACGGTCATCATTGCCCTTATGCAAAAAAATCGCCGTTCTAAAAGGCATGTAGGAATGGATTGTTTAACAATTGGATTCGCTATTTATCATTTGCAGTCACGGGATTTATTGATTAAACCACAACCATTAAGTTTCTTCAAATACCGTGCGTCAGTTGCTAGATCACAATATTTTATCAATACTAGAGAAGTAAGTGGGAGATTCAAATTACCTCCTGGACACTATTTAATTGTTCCATCAACTTTTGACCCCAATGAAGAAGGGGAGTTTTTAATTCGTGTATTTTCCGAACACAAAAATAATATGAAAGAAAATGACGAAAATGTTAATTATGGAAACGATATCGACAATAATATTCCAACTATTATTCCGCGCGCTCCAACACCTACAATTCATGATCCTCAGCGAGATGCTTTAGAACGATTATTTCGAAATATTGCTGGTCCAGATATGGAAGTAGGATGGAAGGAATTGAAACAAATTTTAAATTACTCTATGAAAGATGCAGAATTTTCGAAAGACATATGCCGATCTATGGTTGCGATGATGGACGCCGATGCATCTGGTAAATTAGGATTTGAGGAATTCCAAACATTACTTACAGATATTGCAAAATGGAAAGCGGTATTTAAATTATATGATCGCGATGGTGAAGGCAGTATAGATGAATTTGAGCTTAGAACTGCTTTAAAATCAGCTGGATACAACTTAAATAACCGCGTATTAAATGTACTGGCACATCGTTATGGATCAGAGAATGGTAAAATTGCCTTTGATGATTTCATTCTTTGTGCTGTTAAAATAAAAACATTCATTGAAATATTTAAAGAAAGAGATACTAAGGGAACAAATACAATCACATTTAATATGGATGATTGGATAGAAAAAACAATATACTCATAGAAGCCAAATAAAACTAGCATCCAACAAAATCAAACAATATTATTTGAAATAGATTATTAAGAAATGCTAGTTTTTTAAAGATTTATTAATATAACTTTATCACAAAATTGTTGTAATTGTAACAATGTTAAACTATTATTAAGTACAAATTATTTTTTTCCTTAATTTGTTAAAATTCATATGCTTTATTTATATTTATTCTTTAAAACTCTATATTTTCTAGTCTTTTTAGCAATTTAAGATTATAATATCGGCGCTGTAAATATTTGGTTTTTGTTCAAGTGTTACAATCAACAAATTTTGTGGGTAAAAATGTTGTACAATTGTGCATTTTTCTTAAATGTGCAAACATACCAATTAATTGTATTATTTTATATATACTTACAAAGTCTTCCATTATTGTATGAAATATTATTGTATTAAATTTTTTTGTTTCTATTTATTTAAAGTTTCATTTTATAATTTTTAAGCATTTAATTTTTGTTATTAAATATTAACAATGTGTAAGTGTCTTGTACTTATTGCATACGTGTATGCGGTGCCTTATAATGCCAATTATTTTGAAATAAAATATAACTGAACATTACTAACTAAAAATATTTTATTGTTTTTTAAAATATATGGCATAGATTTTTATAAGTAAGCATTTTTTTCCAAGCTTGAGATATTTTGTGATTAATGGTCGGATTGCCTAAACTGATCTCTCAACTTTTAAATTGGGTTAAATAAGTTTTGCTTCCTTTCATCGGTATCATCAAGCTAAGCGATCATTTTTTTATTGTGTTTTGATGAAATAATTAAGCCAAAGTAATTTCAATATTGTTATTTATTAAAATGCTTAATCAAGTAATTGATTGACATGATTAAATAATAAATGTAAATTTGTAAATATAATGTATAATATATGTATATAAAAACAACAACGTTATAAATATGAACTACAATTTTCTTAAGTAAAACAGCTAATATATAAAAATAAGTAGAAAAATAATTCTTAAATATTCGATAAACAGTCCTGAGGACTTTTATTAAAAAAATATATATATATATATTTAAGCCATTAATCTAAGCAATATTTATTTCTGCGATTTTTCATTTTGTAAGGAGAAATTGGTAAGCCTTATACCTTTTAAAAAATTTTTTTTAAGAGTATATTGTCTTTTCAACCCAATCATCCATAGTAAATGAGGCAACATTTGTTCCTTCTGCATCATGGGCTTTAAAAATGTCAATAAAGGTTTTTATTTTTACGGCACAATGAATAAAATCGTCAAACGCAATTTTTCCATCACGCGAACCATAACGGTGTGCTAAAGCGTTTAGAATTCTATTATTCATATGATAACCAGCAGAATTTAAAGCAGTTCTTAAATCGAACTCACTTATTCGTCCTTCGTTGTTACGGTCATATAATTTGAAAACAGCTTTCCATTTGGCAATATCGGTTAGTAATTCCTGAAATTCTTCAAATCCTAGTTTCCCAGATTGATCAGAATCCATCATTGCAACCATTGATCTACAAACATCTTTTGAAAATCCTGATGCTTCGGTAGAAATTACGGAGCTAGGTGGTATTAGGACAGGGCGATTCGAATCCAGTGGTTCGTTTTGATTTATTCCAAGTAAGGGTTCAAATGGAGTTCCTTTACAACAAGCGCCACATAGCAGAGCAAAAAGATTAATCTCTCCTTCAGCATTTCCAGTTCCACCGTTCATTAATAAAGCATCAGAATCGTTTTGGGCATAGTTTGGTACCATTTGTCTTGGTAAATCATCTCTCATAGAATGGTCTAAAATTTTTTTTAATTCCATCCAATCAACTTCCATGTCGGAACCAGCGATGTCTCTGAATAATCTTTCTAGAGCTTGTTTTTGAGGATCAAGAATTATAGGTTTTGGTGCAATTGGTATATCGCTAGGAATATCATCGCCACCTTCAATTATATCCCCATATCCGACACGCTGATCATTTTCCTCCATATTATTTTTATGTTCAGAGAACACACGTATTAAAAATTCGCCTTCCTCATTAGGATCGAAAGTAGAAGGCACGATAAGGTAATGTCCTGGAGGTAATTTAAAACGAGCGCATACTTCTCTAGTATTTATAAAATGAGGAGATCTAGCAACTGAAGCACGATATTTAAAAAAATTCATTGTTTGCGGCCTCACATGCAAATCTTTTTCCTCTAGATTGTAAACTGCAAAGCCAATTGTTAAACAATCCATTCCCAAATTTCTCTTGGATCGTCGATTTTTTTGCATTAATGCGATGATGACCGTACATTTACCGTCATCATCTTCTTCATCTGGATCAACCAACGTAATAACATATTGTGGATTATGCCAAAATGTTTCCAAAAAGTTTCGACAACCACCCGCTGTCACACCAGGAGTCCACTCGCCTTCGAAAACTGACATTTCCCAACGTCTTTTTCCATCGTGTCTTTGCTCATCTGTTAAAGAATCTGGAGATAAATTACAAATTTCAACTCGATCAAAGTTGTTCACAAAATCTTGGAAGGACATCCAAAATTCTCCATCCCGATCAAAATTCAAACCAATCTCATTTTTCGTCGCTTCTGAAATTAATCTCCATTCTGAAGATTTATCGCTCCATGGTCCATTCCATTCTGCTTCATTTCCCCAAGGATTCCGCAGCCGAATCATTGGAATTTTACCTACTCTGTTAGGAGTTGTTATGTCTATTAGTGCTACTTTAGTTATAGAATATGCGTGGCCACGAATAAGACCAGATTCTGTTTCGGCTTCTAGTACATTTGGATCAGGTTCCAAACTGCAGCCCATCATAGAATTCCTCTCAAAACCTTTATAAAGTATATTGAACAAATTCGCCGGTGCGTCTTTCATTTCATACCATTCTGTAACTCCTCCTGTGAAGTCCTCCATAGCTTCGCAAGTTGTGCCGCCTTTCAATGCTTCATAGGAACCGTGTAATTTGGCATAAGCCTTCTCAAGTAAAGCACTCCAAAATTCATTTTTTTCTGTGGAATGCATGTACATTAATTCACCTCGGTAAGTAGGTAGCCGATCATCAACTACAACATCAATCCATTTTCCGTATTGCCAAAAACGAAAATGAAAAATTCCCGCATAGCTTTCGTCAAAACCCTGATCCGAAGGTATAACTTTAAAAAATAGGTTTGAATCTTGGGTTAAATTAGCAGTAGCAGCCAATAACCAACAATCACCGAGCTCTCCCTGTTGAACATCAAATCGTGAATATCCTTCGACAAAAAATTGAGGATTGTCACAAATTTCATGTGGACGCAACCATTCAATATGCCTATCGGGTCGTCTTGAAAACATTAAAGACTCATTTCTTGCCGGAAATATAGGATCTTCAAAGAGGGAACCTCTATCCAAACTTCCCTGACGCAAAACTTTAAAATCTTGAACATTTTCATATGACGAAGATCTCAAACCGGTTGATTCTAAATTTAGTACTTTCATATTTTTAATACTAGGCAAAACTCTTTTATTTTCTGCTTCTTTTTTGATGAACACTTCGTTTATAACATTGCCAAGCGCTTCTTTTGTAGCACCGACTGCTATCTTACCAACTTCGTTAACAAAATCACCTGCGGTTTTTCGAAGAAAAATTTTTAATTCATCCATTTTATATGCTTATTGTTTTCTGAGGTGTGGTATTAAAAAATAAAGGCTGAAATTGATGACTAAGGTAACGAATGGAAAAATTTTTTCTTTACTATATTGATCAACGTTAAAAACTCGAAGTATTTGAATTCCAAATTAATAAATAACTAACCGCAAACCATTTCAAGCAATTATTTAAATTTTTTATTATTTAAAATTCAATTTTGTTTATTTACTTAAAAATTCTACTCTAAATGGTCAAAAAAGCACATCTCATCTAGTCATCTCACATTTTATCAGGGCTGCTGTGAATATATTTACATATGTACATATATTCACAGCAGGCATACGTTTCATGTCCGAAAATATTTTTGATAACTGGAGACATGTAATTTTTTATTTATGGTTTTGGAACAACAATACTCGGCTTGAAATAACAAAAATATCAGTATTTCTGTCAGCAATTTTTTGTGTTGCAATTTATTCGGTCAAAATTTCTATTTAAATTTTTTTTTCTTTCGAGAGTAAACTTTGCCCGAAGAGTAAATATTATAAGGAGAGAAAATAATGGTTGCCATTAATGCGGTATATTTAAAAATGAAAGGCATTTCTGCTTTTTTACTAGACAAAATATAATAGCTTTGTCGGCAAGGGGAATGAAATGTATGTATGTTAATCACTGATGCAAAAATCATTGTGTAAACATAGGTTTTTATAATTCAATATTTGTGATTTATTATGTCTGTTTACACAATGGTAAAGCTTCTGAGTAAGGAAAATGAAACGTATTGCAACTATTGACGCAACAACCGGCTTGTAAAAACAGAGAATCACAGCTGGCAGTACTACTGACTTGGACATTAGGAGAACCTTTATGATAACGTTTTTCAATAGAATGCCTTAAAATTTGGTCTATGAGAATTGCGAGTAGTTTAAAATATCAGTAACAGGCTTAATTTTATTATGAGTGTTTTCTTTAAAATTGGAAAATTGTAAAAATTATTTCAAACAAATAATTCTCATATTATCTATACCATCCTGGCATTTTACAAAAGCTAATTTCTAATTTACTCCTCATTTAAATAAGTATATACATACATACATTTGAATTCCAAACCGAAATTTTTCAATTTTCGATTACAATATAAAATAAAATAAATAAAAAAAAATAAAAATTAATTAATTAATTATTTGTCATTTTATTTATTAATTTTATTAATAAATAAAATGACAAATAAATTACAGATAAATTTACAAATTTCAATAAAATTTTACACTTAAAATTTAAAATTATGTGTTGCAAGAGGAACCTGATAATAAAAGAAAACGTTTGGATTTGTTTTTGGTACTAAGCAAATATTGTAATTTTTTCGACCTCATATACTTACGAATAAAAAATTTAAAGTTATATTTGCATCGGGGTCTTAACGAAAGAAAATGTTGGAGCCTCTCATTTTTATTTAAATATAAAAATTACTGCCAAAATGACATTTTAAAAATATTTGAGAAAATTGTTAATTTAGATCATATAAGTACTCGTATATATATTATGTAGATATAAAAACATATTAAAAAGTAAAAAAAAAATCTATTGTAATAAAAATAAAACATATGATTTTCCATTAGTAATTAATTTAGAGTAAAGATTCAATTAGTAGGGCATGTATATATTCATAAAGTAAATTTTGCAAAAAACTTAATCTATACATCATTAATGTTGATTGCTATTCCTCAAAGAATCCTTTATTTAAATTGTCGTTTTTGTTTTTATTTTAAGGTCAACTAATATATAAAAATGTGGAAATTTTTTTTTATTTACATAGGTATTGGACAACAATTAAAAAAAAACAACTAAATTTATCTATCAAAATATCTTATATTGCTATAAAACTTAACTCAAGGGAGGGTGCCTTTTCATATGCCCCCAGTAACCAGCGGCTTGTTTAAAACCTTTCCCACAAAAACGGCAAATATATTTTCTTTCGTCACTGTGTAGTTTTTTATGTTCTCTCAAAGCGCTTCTTTTTCTAAAGAATTTGCTACATAAGTCACAGCCAAATGGTTTTTCTCCAGTATGAATGCGTTTGTGCTCAACTAAATGATGTGATCTTGCAAACCGCTTGCAACAAATTTCGCATTGATGTGGCCAATTCTGAGCATCCTCATGCCGGCTTTGTTGGTGTTTTAGTAAACAGAACTAAAAAAATTTTTTTACAAAAAAATATCATTTTTATTGGAAATTCCTTACTTTCGTCTTATAATAATTCCCACATATTTCACATTGAAAGTTAGCTAAAAGGTTTGTTTATTAACATCATATTTAAAATATAAGTGAGGATTAAGTACTACCAATACGTATCGCAGGTAACTAACCTGGTAAATGCCTTTTTTCATGCTGCTTTTTAAGATTATATAGTTTGAACTTAGCATTGCAGCCTTCATATTCACATACAAATGGCTTATCATCAGTGTGTTTATATACAATATGGTTTTTCAAATTGGCTGCTACTGTAAATGCTGAGGAACATAATTCGCATTTGTAAGGTCTGTGATTTGTATGAATTCTCATGTGTGTTTTCATTTGTGATTTTTTTCTGAAAAGCCTTTCACAGAAAGTACATTTAAATGGAAGTTCACCAAGGCTTTGTAAGACAGTTGAGTCTAATGATGAAATATAATCACTATCATGACCATATTCATTAATTTCATTTTTTTCGTGAACTAAATTCAAATGAGAATTGTATTCAGATTTTGTGTCAAAATAGATATTACAACTTTCACACTTGGTTTGACTTTTGATTTCTTTCGACTCAATTTTGAGCCTATCATCCTTCGCTACCTTTGATTTATTTATTTTGATTTTTGCATCCATAAATGCATAAAATTTGCAAATTTTGCATTGAAATTTTTGAAAGCAATGTTCTGTATCAATGTGATGCTCATACAACCTTTTGTAGTCTTCAAAATATTGTTTGCAAAAACTACAGCAAAGTATACCCTCTCGCAGTAATTTTATGAAGTCCCCATCAAATTTTTTTATCGTATCTTGTATATTTAAGCACTTTTGTACGTCGTGTGAATTAGATACATAAGATATTTTGCAATGTGGACAGTTGATTTCTTCAGAAATTTCATTCTTTATATTTTCTTTGCTTTCTGTAGCAGTAAAAATTTCTTTCTCATTACAATTTATATTTAGTTTATTGTTCAATTCAAGTCTTTCACAATGATCTGAAAAATCTTGATTGTCTTCATCTTTAACAGAATCATCGTTGAAGTCACATTTCTTTTTCAACTTATTTTGAGTTTGGATGATATCGGCTCCATTTAAGGAGTCTGTTGCACCTACATGTAATAAGCTATGTGTTTGAAATTCCGGAAACTCATGAAATAATTCGTTACAGTAGCAACATAGAAAATAATAACTCTTCTGATTTGCAAAAAATATTTCTCCACATTTATGATATATATCTTGACTGTTCATTTTAGATAAAAATATGTTGAAAGTAATTACTGTTTACAAATTTGTTTTCTTTTATTTGTTATTCATACGATTCTTCTATTTTGACGTTTAAGATAAAGTCAAACTTACACAAATTAATTATCGACCATCCTGTACTGTCAACTATATATAAAAATGTTCCTAGTAGCTAACTACTGATGAACTGTTTAAATAATATATATACTACAAAATCTGAGCTTAACACGTATTTCGTTTTCTAATCTCACTTTTTATTCACTTTCAAATGAGAATTTATTTTTCAGATATTTCATTTTTTTAATAAGATTACACAATTTTTTAACTGGATTTTGATTTTTTCTCAAATTATCGATTCAACATTTCACCTTCAAATACAAACTGAATAAACTTTATAAACATTTCACAAAAAAAACGAGATACGCAATATGGAATAACTTTTCTCACTCGAAAAATCATATTGCAGAAATATACGATAGTGACTTAATTTTTCTCACTTGGCGAGTAAAAAGCGAGATACACGATCAGCCTCTTAATTTTACAAATGTGTAATAGTTACTCACTTTCATCTCACTTGGCGAGTAAAATGGCGATATAGACGATATTTTTAGAGAAAACTATTTGATAACTTATTTATATTGCATAGTTTTATATTCAAGGGCGCACACATGCAACTGTATTGTCGCATGCATTTAACTAATCAAACAGTTTATAATTTTTTACAAATTGATTGTAATTTTAATTTAACGCATTCGAATTTTTGTTGACACGATAGTGATTACAAAACTAAAATTTGCTTGTTGCTTGAGCCATATATCTACATACATACGATAAAGTCGATGACTGTTTATGTACAATAAAACTGTACAATAGAAATTTTCTCGGACTTTACGTTAAAATTTAACAATATCAAAAAAAAGTTTTTATATTTAAGGTAAAAGAAAAAAACATCTTTTACAAAACAGAATCCACTTTTTTTACTGCCGCAAAATATACTTTGCAATTTGTTTTTCAAAAACAAATATGGTAACCCTAATCATATTGCGGACTTGACATTCAATATTTTAGTACATAATTCAAAGTACAAACAATAGAATCATATTGCATATTCCTATTCTCTATATTTTTAATTTGTTTTTATCGGATTTAAATTATAAGTGAAAATGAACGAAGAGAACAACGTATTCCAAAAATGTGGTGAGATATATTTAGCAAACAACACAAGTTATTCGTTTCTATGTACTTATTGTAATATACTATTTTACGAATTGGCTGAATTTCAAACGCATAGTTTGGTTCATTTAGACAAATCTGAATGGGGTTCTGCTAATAGAGATGAGTTAGACACTGTAGAATCTAAACTCGAAAAATTAGAGGCATTTAATGCCGAGGCGTTAGTGAAAAATCATGCTGAGGATAAAGTTTTAATGAATACAAATCCGAAATCAAGGAAAATACAAGAAAATTTAAGTGATAATAAAAAGACGTTTGATATTCATAAGCATATTTCTGAAGACTCACTGGAATTTGACGAAAATTTGGACAAGCTGATTTCAGAAAAGAAGGCTAAAGAGTGTTTTCACTGTAAAAAAGAATTTAAGGCAGATTTGCATGACGTAGAGAAATGCCTCCGCATTCGAGAAACTATTGATAAAAACAATGGAGACTTTATTAAATTGTTGCGAGAAGGTATACTTTGCTGTTGCAGTTGTAAAGAATACTTTGAAGATCACAAAAAATTGTATAAGCATCACATAATTTCCAATCATTGCTCTAGCAACAATCAATGCAAAATATGCAAGTTTTATTCTTTCATGAACACAAAAATCAACTCAACAAAACAAAGGTCTAATGCCACAGTGTTAAATAATGTTTTTGGAACAATAAAAGAGGAATTTCCTTTTAAGTGTTGTATGTGTGAAAGAGTATTTAGGACCAAATCCCAAAAAATAATTCACATGAGAATTCATAATAATGAAAGACCTTATAAATGTGAATTATGTTCAGCAGCATTTACAGTTTCAACTAATTTGAAAAACCATATAATATACAAGCATACCGATGATAGACCGTTTGCTTGTAAATATGAAGGCTGTAACGCAAAATTTAAGCTTCTTGATCTTAAAAAACAACATGAAAAGAGACATCTTCCAGGTAGAGTTTTCGAAATAAATTTAAAGAAAAATGAATAAAGATATAAAAAAATTTCAGCTAATTTTCAATGCGAAATGTGCGGGAATTATTATAAAACCAAAGTAAGTGAAAAAAAAGTATAATAAGTACATCTACAAAATATTGTAATTAATTTCAGTTCAATTTGCGAAAACATCAGCAAAGCAGACATGTCGATGCAAAATATTGGCCATATCAGTGTGATGTTTGCAGCAAAAGATTTGTATGGCCGGAACACTTGGTTGATCACAAAAGAATTCACACTGGAGAGAAGCCTTTTGGTTGTGATTTGTGTCCAAAATTTTTTAGGAGAAGAAATGCGTTGAGAGAACATAAAAGATTGCATAGTGACGTTAAAAAGTATGTATGCCGCTTTTGTGGAAAAGGTTTTAAACAGCGGGCTGGTTATTGGGGTCATATGAAACGACACCCGGTCTTGAGCTGAATTTTTTATTGTTTAAGTTGTTGTTGAAGTTTTTTGTTGATTTGAATTTTTTATATTTATTAAACCGAACTGAAAATTTTCTGGTTTCAAGCAAGTGAAATAGAAATAACATATAAATACGGTTTTATATGGAAAGCATAAAAAAATTTGAAAACTGAATGTAGTGCAAAAGAATCATTTTAATAACTTCGAAAAAGAATAAAAAAATGTAAAGATTTAAATAATTTTTTTAACCGCATATATATTTAACTTAAATAGGGCGACAAAGTAGACACGTTATTTTTTGATAAACTTATAAAACATTTTAAATGCTTATATGTTGCTTCTTTTGTCTAAATCACAAAAAAATTAATAAGCTTTTCAGATGATGGACCTAATTAGCTGAATAAGATTTACGTAAAAAATTAATAATTTTTTTAATAGGCGGTTGAGAAGAAAGAGTAATTATCATACATTTGTATAATGTAATTTTCGAGTGAGAAGAATAATTCCGTATTGTATATATCGTAATCGTAATTTAAAATGTCATTCGATTTGCCTAGTCCAATCGACTCGTCTAGCCATTCGCTTCGCCGATTATAAAAAGGGTTTTATAAATAAACATTTGACAGTTGAAATAAAATACTGATTTTAACTCACTGAAAAATTGTGTTGCCATTTCTGATTCTCTACGAAAAGAATTCGTGATCATTTAAAGGTCTACATCGTAGTTAAGTTCGTAATTCGTAGAATTTTACGAGGGATATTCATGCTGATTTCAAAAGGAATAAAAAGCGAGATGAAAATGCGAGATACACGATTAGGCTGTAAATCCACAATTTAATCTACGATAAAATCTGATGAGTATTTACACACCAGATACCATTCAGATGTTTTTAATTTTTGTAATCTATAAACTTTCAATAAAAATTAAAAAAAATTCATTAATCAGGCAAAATTTTTAAAAATTTACTTTCCATGTTATTTTAAAAAAATGACACTAAATGACGAGCTGAAGATTTAAATTTTTGACATTCTCGTCATTTTTAGTTTAACCTTTTTCTCTCTCTCAAAAAGTTAAATCAGCTTCAACTTTAGTGCAGAGGTTTTTAAAACGTCAAATTTACGTATACTAAACTATTACAATACAATTACATATACTTCTTGTCAAAAAAGTAATAAATCATAATAAAAAATCGAAAAATAAATAGAAAAAACGATCAGATTTTTCAAGACGAACCAATGAACAATTAAGATAAAAAATAGTTCAGCTCAAAAACGACGAACCAATTATTCCAGCTTAAATCTTATAAGAATCTGTTATCTCTATTACTTCTTTGACATCACAGTGTAAGACAAATTCTGGGGTCAAGCAATAATTAACAAGTTATTATAAATCCTCGAACGCGCAGGCTGATATTTTTCACATTTCAAGTAGGCAGGGCTGCCATAAATTGAATTTTAAAAAAAGGTACAGGAAACCAAAAATTATGGTACCACGGTTAAAAAAAGGTTATCTTTTTTATTAATTTTGAGTACTTAGCATTTAAGTAATTCTTAAAGTAAATTTTAATAATTAAAGTAAAATTAAAGTGAAAATATTAAAATCAAACATTTTTTGATATTTTTCAAATTTAATCAAACATTTTTTGATAAAAATATGTAAAAAGTATGTTTAAAAATAACCCGTAAAGCCGAACACTTTCTGAACTCTAAATGTAAGTATGGCGTTGGCCAATCTTAAGTTGTGGAAGTCATAACTTTTAAAGAATTTTATTTAAAAATCCTATTTTATTAAAACAGAAACTACAGCAAAAGAATGCAAATAAGTACAAGTGTTACGTAGCTTTCTTAATATCGGAGTATTCTTCAACTGTGCTAACATCTTATTTTAATTAAAAGTCTTACTCATTTCCGATCGGCTAATATATTTCACGTTGTGATACCAACCGCAGTTATCGATATCATGTGTGTTATGTGTATATTTAACTTTTTTTCTCAATGTCATTTCTTTTGAGGAAAATTTTTTTTTGAGAAAAATATCAACAGCTAAAAATTTTAAACCTTAAAAACGTACCATTTTATGTAATGTACCACGAAAATGGTACATTTGGCAGTACTGACAAGGAGTAGGCTACTCTAATCTCTCATAGTGTCTACGTTCCAGTCTTGTATTTTTGCAAAGTCGTGGTTTGATTACTAACATCTTACATTATGTCGTTTTTGATTTTTTATTTCTAGTTCAAGTAAATTTTCAATTTTTAATGTTAATCTGCTAGGTAAAGTTTATTTATTTTCCTAACAAAAAAACTGACTATTCGATTTTACAAAATATACAAATGTATAAATACGTATATTTTTAATGAAAGTTTTAAGTGATTCGTGTTATTATTGTCTGTAAATAAAATTAAAGTCGTCCCAAGTCTCAAGCGTATATACTTATATGAATACACATATGAACATTATGGTTGGCTCAAATAAGCAAGAAGACAAAGTAATAACTTCGGCAAAACAAGAGTATAAAATTCTAGCGGAATAGTAAGTTTTTGTACCAAAATTAATTAGTCTTGAAATAAACTGAATACAATTTTTTTAAGCAAAATGGTCGAATCTGAAAAAATCGGAGGAGTGTATGTAATACCGTCATATGAAAATTCTTTATGTAAGAGATTTGTTAAACACTTACCTGTTATACAAATATGCATTTATATTTTGAAATTTTTCTCTATTTTCTATTTCAAATTTTGTAGTATGGTTTGGGGTTATTTTTGTAAGAAGCGGGTATTATAAAAATGGAATATTTAGATTCAATATAAGTCTACCAGATAATTTTCCTGATGATAAAACTGCTCCGGTAAATATTATTGAAATTTTAATTTTATTTTAATTCAAATTTTTTTTAGACCGTCATATTTCAAAATGAAATAATTCATCCATTAATCCATCCATACACAGGTGCTCTAGATATTTCTTTTGCATTTCCCTATTGGCGTATAGGAGAAGACCATATCTGGCAATTACTAAAGTATATTTCATATATATTTATGGAACCTGAAGAGTGCTTAAAATCAACGGAAACATTTCAAAATAAAAATGCTTTCGATCTTATCACAATTGATATCGATGAATTTAAAACTAAGGTGGCACATTGTGTTCAGCAAAGTATTAATAACGTTTATGATCCGGCACCTGTTGATGATCCGCATTATATTATATTTGAAAGGTTTAATAATGAATTGCATGGTCCAGTATTAAATAAAATGAAATTAGACGGAGCCAAATCAATTGTACCATCAGCTCATGCAACCACAAGTTTATCATGGGTAAAGGAAGGCGAGTTTAAACCGCTTTCAAAAGAATAAAAGTGCAATTATGAAAATTCAAACTATTTCGGATTTATTCTTTTTTTCTTATTCCTACAAGTTAAAACTATATAAACAGGTAGGTAAATAAGAGCGTTAATGTTAATTTTTATTAAGATATGTACATAACTATATCACGAAATTAAAAAATCTATTTTTTTATGTAAGTTTTACTAAGTATACTATTTTCAACCCATTTTGTGTTTAGGGTAATGATGTTGCCTTCCCACTGAAAGTGTGTAGGTGGTGATGCTTCTCCATTTTTAAATTCAAAATTTTTACTCAGTTCTATTGCTAATTTTGAACGAATCAGTCCAATATTTCCTACTTTTTCCCAAGCAGGATGGTAGACCCGCCCAGATACCGGGTTCATATAAATTTTTTCAGGCTGGAAATTAGTAGTTAAAAGTTCACCTGCGTGAGCGTACGATAATTTATATTTTTCTTCCTTGCTTTTAATTAAATGTGTATATACAATAGGTAAATCATCACATCTTATAAAATTACGTTCACGGCCACAAAGGGATAAGAATGGAAAATCTAAAATTATATTATACTAAAATTTTGCAGATTAAATGTTTAATTGACTAACCATTGTATCTTCCTGTTTCGTTTAAACGGATCCGGTCAAAAAAAAACTTTAAAAATTTTTTGTCCTTGAAACATGATGTAAAATTTTTCATTTTGGAATCGTCTAAGAAGAGCATACCTTCATGATCAATATAGTAAAAATATTCGCGAATTTTTGGTTGAGGTTCTTGTCCTTGTATATAATGCACCGAACGAATATTTTTGATAAATTCTTTTGTGATGTTTCTAATTAGTGTCATATTTTTGTGATGTTAATTTTGTACAAAATAATATAAAAGAAACACCTTAGCAAAACAACTTAATTTATGTGAGATATACCGAATAACAAATATCAACATAACAAAATAATAACAAATATCAGCTGATTATTATTTGAGAAATAAGTTTAAGTTACACTGTTTTCGTAATTTTTGTTTTTGAGATGTACTAATATTTTTCTTGACGGTTATTTTATTCTACTGCATTTGACATTTTTTTTTGATAAAAATAATATGTAACTGTAACAGTATAGTGTATAAACTGATATTAAAATTGACATTTCAAAAGAACTTAAGCACTAAAATGATTCTTAGGCCTGCTATGTAAAAATACGAAAGTCGTAAATTTGCGTAAGTTGATTTGCGATTCGCAAGTGGTTTGTAAAATTTTTTGTTTTTGACATTTCTGACAGTTTTTCCAAAGTAACCGTTTGAATTATTTTAAGAAAGTCATACATTTAAATGTACATATGTATAATGCTAAGGAGGCGATTGTGGTTAATTTTTTTAAACAAATATGGATAGCAAAAGATTTTTTTGCAAGTAAAGATTTAAGTATTGTTCTTGCTCAACAAACCGTTTTACTTATTGTAACCGAAGTGTGTAAATCTATATATGAAAAATTCAGTCACATAAAAATAAAACTGGTAAAAAGTAAAGTCGGGGAAAGAGAAGCGAAACAAATTTGGTTAGTTAGTACAAATGGTTTTGAATTTTATTTTGACCTATAATTATAATTATTAATTACAAAGTGTTAATTAATTAAGTAAATTTGAAATGCAAGGTTTTTTTATTTTAATAAAGCAAAATAAATATAACACTTACCATTGTTTAGTTTTACTTTTTCAAAAACTTAGATTTTCGCAATGAGATTCGTAAACAAAATGGAAAGTGCATGAAAAGTATGCGAAAATAGCGATATTCGATTTACACAGTGTCAAAATTTAAAAAGCAAAATTCGTTTAGCGAAACTAGCACTACATAGTAGGCCACCAGGTTTTAAATATCCTGTAATTCTATTTGTTAAGAGTGAAGCTTACATAGTTTTTTTTTGTTTTAAATGTCCATAATACTGGATATACATATAACTTTTTTCGGAAGATGTAGATCCACGAGCTAAAAACAATCGTTTAAAATAAAAATATAGAAATGATTTACATAAATCAATTATTAATACTTACTCGCAATTTGAAACATTAAATTATTTTTAGAAGTGTATATAGATCGTTTTGTGCATAAGTAGTTTCATTTGAATTAAAAATAAGAACAATATTATACATAGTTTATTTTATATTTATTAGTAATATTCCAAAACAAGTTTATTTAAAATTTTTTACATCAATGATCCCGTTCTATATCTTCGACGTTTTAAGTTCTTTTCTTTAATTACAATATTGATCATATTTCCAAAAACTATACAGCATGTTAAAGCAATTAGTATGCAACTTCCAACGAACCATGGGTAAAAATTGGGGTAAACATGACCAGAGGAGTTTGGTTCGTTCACTTCAATTTTGTCTGCATTGTGTGTAATTGTTGTTTTTTTTACATGCGATTTTTCATCTTTAATTTCATTATAATTTTTTTGAAATTGTGTTTTATGCAATGGTGATGTGGAATAATTCAACGATGATGGACCTTCAAACTCAATATCTATATTGGTAATAGTTTTTACAACCATCTAAGAAGAATAGGAAAAAGAATTTTTAATGTCTTAAGTATTCCAAATGAAAAAATTTTAACTGCTATTGTAGAATGTAGTTAAATTGTATGTGTATGTGTTTGTAAATTGTATTATGAATGAAACAATATTTTTATATTAGATCGATTTATATTAGAGGTAATTGTGTACCTAAGTAAAAAATGAGATATTGAAGTCCGTTGGTTAATGTTATATTAATTAAATATAAACCTGAAGTTGCATTTTGCAGTAATGCCGTTTTTATATCAAATCTGAATATTAACATATGCATTTCAATATTCATGAATGGGTTCACTGAAAAGAGAAAATCTTTTTTCTTGTCTCGTACTTTATTTACTTTTGTCGAAATATGAGCAAATGTCTAATATTTTACTTTTACGTCCTATTATGAGTATTCTAGATAAGTTATAGAGACTTGGTGTAAAGGGCATTCTATACGGTTTATTGGAGAGAACTCCGAAGAACTTTAATAGTGAAATTTTTCAATTTTCTGCAAATTTTGTTCGGAAAAGCCAGATTCTAAGAAAATTGCAAGAAGGGCCTAAAAAAATGCGGCACCATAAAAAGGTATTTTCAGCTTTACCATTCATACCAAAAAAAATTATTTAGAAATCTTTTTAGCTTTTCTTCCGTTCTGCCAGATTCTAGAGATCAAGGAATGCTCTGAGAGTCGTAAAAAAGAGTTATCGAATATGAAGAGTCACGCGACACACCGCTTCAAAGAGCAGTCTGTTAAAAATTAATGATGTTAAAAATTTTATGTAAAAATTGCTTACTTTTTTAAGCTAGTACTTTTACTTTTTTGTTTTTTAAGAAAGCAATTTTTACATAATCAAAAACTAAATCATTTTTACTTTAATATTGTCGATAGGTACGAAAGGTCGATTGATGTGTCCGCTTCCATAATCATATATAATTATAGCTGAGAACTCCACAATGAATGTTGACCACTCTCCTATCAATGTCGCATTTTCTCCACTAAAAGGTGGTAATGTTCGGGAAAATGTAAATTCCTTAAACAATAACAAAATATATTAAATATGTAAGCATAGTTGAAATTTATAAATTCATTAATAATATACCTTGCTTTTGTGAGCATAGGCACTTCCATCATTCTCAATATCAATTAAATTTCCATTGTAGTTAATTTTTCCTGGTATTTCTAAATTATTTTCATCTGATGTTGGTAGGATTTTACTTAAATTTACCGAAATTTTTTCAAAATATGAGTATTTAATTGTGTCGAAGAGCTTTTGAAAAGTTGATTGATGGTTTAACAAATAAATTTTCCCACCTGTAATTATATTAAAAATATAAAAAAAAATGTATTTATTATATTTTGTTTTTGGAAAATTTTCTCCTTTGGTATTAAGAAGGTTACTAAAATTCTAATATAATACATCACTTCACTTTATTTGTAAATATGTTTTTATAAAATAACATTTAATGTAGACTTACTCATAGGTATCGGATATCCTGAACTTGTAATATTTTTCCATGGCTTATAAGTGATATTCGAAATTGTGAGTTGAATCGGAAGCAATTCCACTAGTAAATTAAAATGTGAAATAATTACCTAAATAATTAATTAATAAATGGCATTTAAAATAATGTATTTAATATAAACATTTTAAATAATATTTACACGTACCGTGCTTTCATTCTGAAATTCTATTCCACAGTTTTTATGTTTCGTTGTAAAAGAGCAAATAGTTGTGTCAGATAGAGAATCATTTGTTGATTTTGCTATAATTTCATACTTGAAAAAAAAGCTATGTTATAATATACATATGTATGTAGATACATATATAATATTGTAAAATTTGACATGATATCATAGATATGTAACGTATGATACACAACTAATCTATGTATATCCATATTTATATGACAAATGAAATAAAAAACTTTCCTATTCTAGAAAATAAATTATCTGTATTGCATGATTACTTTAAATGTTTTACTTTAATATATTCTTAATTTCAGATTAAGCCAGAGCAACAATATAAGAGTTAAATCCATAATAGTTTTTTTTTGGACATCAAATGAAGTCGAAACAATGTAGCATTTTTGTAAAGTTTTAAGATACAATAATGTTTCTAAGATAATCTAATATTTAAAAAATATATATATATACATATAACACTCTTATCTAACACACATCGGCCTGTATAAAAAATTTTGTGAGAAATATTTATTTATTCGTAAGTTCCGACTTCAAATTTATATGTAGAAAATAAATGTTATATATTCAATATTTAAATTAATAGATAAATTTTTACTTTTATTTTAGCGTTCATTCATATATAATTTGTAAGCAATACATGCATTCGTAATTAATAATAAAACCTAAAACATATCTCATAGGATAATCAAAACTTTTATCTTTATTAGATTACGTCATTCAATGAGTCTATTATTTACAAATTAAAGAAATAATCAAAAATATAAGATAAGCCTATTTGTATTGGAAAATTTTCACAATAATATATTTTTACAATTTGAAGTGTTAACCTAAATAATAATAATTACTTAGAGTGTGACATAAGTAATTTGTATATAATTACGTATTCTAAATCAGGAAGGTTGAGCTCTTTAATAAGTTTTGTTTACAGATTTAATTTATGATAATAACCGTTTTGTAATTACTAATGTTTGTTGAAATCATTGTAAACAAATGAGTGTACACATAAATGTACATGTATATTTTTTAGCTTTTTACTTATATAATCATATAATTTGCGAAAAATTTATTTTTAAACAAATATGAAAATGTAATATAGCTACATACTTATATTGTATATATAAGAAGAACGTTACAGTATTTTTGCAATTTATTTGGTAAAATTTATAATTAAAATTAAATTTATAATTTAATCTGCATATGTAGTTTACAGGACAACAATAACAAATCGAAGTTTTTTATAATTGACTGTTATGTAATAATCTTATAAGTTATAAATCTGGTTATGATTTATGAGAATATTAATTAATTAGCAAATTTTGTCGAATTTTATAAGCATTATAAACGAAATAATAAAATTAATGTTATACTTACGTGATTATTTATATTTGTTAAAAAATTATTCTGTTCATCGTCATATGATAACCAAACTAATTCAATATTAGTTAAATTAGAGCTACAACTTAATCTTTTAAAAGATTTAAATGTTCCATTTTTTAATGTTATAATTTGCGTATCGTTGAAAAACTTAGGCTTTTTATCACATATTTTTTTTAAAGTTTCCTAAAAACAATAAATTCTTTTCAAACATACTATATAAATTCGGTAAATTATGGTAACATCTTCAATTGTATATATGTATAAATATTTTCATTTATATGCAATAATAGATAATTTTTTTGGCACCGATTCGGTATTTTGTATAATAATTATTAAGCTTTCAATTGGAGATATTCGAAATGCACGAAAAACTTACTGAAAATTGGATCAATAACGATTTAAATAAAAATTCGATGCAAGATTTTCATTCTTCTATGTACTTTAAATTTAAAAACCAGTTGCTATAAGCCAACAATTTGAATTTATTCCATTTTGAATTTATGATTTAATTTTTATTGTATTTTTATATACAATAAAAATTAAATCATAAATTCAAATGTACATGCATACATAATATGGAATGTATATACATACATAATATATTGAACTTTTTTGTACATTGAATTCATAATATCGAAATCGCATTGTTTTCAAGTTCAATTCAGTTTAAACAAAATGTTATTGAATTTGATTTAAATATAAAAATTTTTGATAATTAAATTATAATAGATTATGCAATTCTAATCAATAAATATTTGAAAATCTGTGTATATGTTGAATAAATTTATACTTATATAATATTAAGAATATTTGATATAGGAACCTTTTCATTTTCAGACACTATTTTTCCTGTAATATCACATTGTAAATTATTGTTTGAATTTTTTATGCCCTCAATGCAAAAACTGTTTGCTTTCACAACAAATAGAGTTAAATTAAATATAATTATAGTTATTGAAAATTTGAATGAATACATTCTAAATATAGCAAACGCCAAAAAATAAAAAAAAAAAATATTAATTTTAAATAAAATTAAAATGTCTTTGGTACCATTGACGGTTTTAAAATAACTGAACATATGATAAAAATAATTGAAAAAAAAAAATTTAAAATAATTTCTTCCAAAATAATCTCAATTTTGATAAAGCTTATCGTAAAACTAATAATAAATATATGATTATTGTGCATATATATACGTATATATACGGAATATTCTTATTCATATATTCCTTTAATTACATATTTTGAGTTATATAATATTTATATAAAGAAAATAGAGTTTATAATCGCGAATTGATTTTTTCTCAAAATAAGCAAATATGTGAATATAGTTAGCAGCGACGTAATGTATTCAGTATAATAACCAAAATTAGAGGTTGTAGTCGAAAAAGTATACTCTTTTTTTTCCTCGGGATGTTCACCTAAATGAATGCTATAGTTTGGGATATAATATAGTACATAGTTTATTATACCCGTACGAACGTATGTTCGAAGGATATACTAAATTTGCCTTACCGTTTGTAACGCTAAGAAATAACGGTGTTAGATATAGACTCAAGTGTATGTTTTTGATCAGCGTCAAATTCTGAGCTGATTTAGCTTTGTCTGTCCGTCCGTCCGAACGATAACTCAAAAACTAATTGAGCTAAGTTCACCAAATTTTCACAAATGATATATTGTAGTAAGTGCCACAACCCTATTTAAATTGGACGTGATCGGGGTACCGGTTCGGGTAGCTGCCATACAACTTCAAAATTTATTTGGCTATATCTCAGAAACTATAAAAGTTTTGGTATTGAAATTTCACACAAACGAATATATTAATAGGGCCAATGTGTCTCATAAAAGTCGTTGAAATTACTTGGCTCCTTCTGGTACCTGCCATACAACTTCAAAATTTATTTGGCTACATCTCAGAAACTATAAAAGTTGTGGCATTGAAATTTCACACAAACGAATATATTAATAGGGCCAATGTGTTTCATAAAAGTCGTTGAAATTACTTGGCTCCTTCTGGTATCTGCCATACAACTTCAAAATTTATTTGGCTACATCTCAGAAACTATAAAAGTTGTGGTATTGAAATTTCACACAAACGAATATATTAATAGGGCCAATGTGTCTCATAAAAGTCGTTGAAATTACTTGGCTCCTTCTGGTACCTGCCACACAACTTCAAAAGTTTTTTGGCTATATCTCAGAAACTATAAAAGCTGTGATATTGAGATTTCACACAAGTGAATATATTAGTAGGGCCGATGTGCTTGATAAAATTCGCTAAAATTTCTTGGCTCTTTCTGGTAGCTACCATACAACTTCAATAGTAGTTTGGCACAACCAGTATTTTGAAAAACACATAGTACTGAAATTTTGCATAAATTTATATGGTAATACGGCAACTTAAAGTCATAGTCTGCCCCATAGTTAGTTATGGCACATTAGTTATTCGCACATATTACAACAAATTCGTACGGGTATCACAGAGTTGGCAAGGTCAACTCTACTTTTGTTCTCGTTCATTGTTAAAATTCTATTAATACTATTCAGGGAACGATATAATTTTGCAACTTGTTATGGTTTAACATCAAAATTCGAGGAATTTAGCAGGTTTATTTTCAGGTAATATGTTTTGCAGGTTTATTTTCACATTTTTCAAATAATTGTAGTAATACAGCGTTAATACACAATTTAACTATAATGAAATGTAATTAACTAAATTGTGTATCAATACAGTGTGGCTGGAAAGTTCCGTTTAATAATAAGAAGATTTCAAATTAAAAATAAAAGAAAATTCATTTAATTTGTATTTTTTTTTTTTTTCATTTTGTTCATTAAAACGCGAATTTTATTTTCAATATTAATTTTTCCTTATTTGACTTAATTTAATTTATTTTTCTATTATCATTTTCATTTTTTCTTGTGAATTGTACATATTACATTTTCTTATTCAACATTTAATTGAAGAAACTTTTGTTTAACTTTTATAAAATTAATTTTTCATAATAATAATATTTATTATTCAATATCATTTTACAATTTCAATACATACATAATATAGTATTATAAATATTAAATTTGCAATATTTTCACAAATGTAATTACCTTTTCTTAATATATATAAATATATATATGTATATGATATATATATATATATATATATATATATATATATATATATATATACATATATATATCATAAATAGGAGTATATCATAAATAGGAAACTTAAATTTGTATAATTTAATGTATATGTATATATATATATATAGGTCAAATTTTAAGGTACGTGATATTTTAGTTGCGCTTATAATCAAGTAGAATTATTTCTAACAAAATATACTACAGAGTATAGATGCATGTAAAAGAATATAATTTTTATTTATTATTAATTTTGGAAACTCTAGCCAAACTTTCAAGCTTTCATCTAACTGGAATTTTATTTATTCAAGCAGTTATAACTATATACGTTATTACTGATTTTGAAGTCAAATGGGCTTAAGATCATTTTGGTAGACGTTTTCTATATATATATATATATATATATATATATATATTCTATACATATATATATATATATATATATATATATATATTAATATTTATATTATATACGTATATTAATATTTATATATTAATATACGTATATAATATAAATTACATTTACATACAAGAAATTACTACTACTTAATAATTTAAAATTTTCAATTCCTAAAAGTACTCATATAATAGTGGGTTAAATAAAACTAGATTAAAAGAAGAATTTTGGTAAATTCTTAAACGTCAAATTTTACAAAATCTGAGTTGTCTGAGTTTACGAATACTCTACTGCGTTCTTACTTTCAGTCAAAGTTTAAATTCTTAAACGTTTAAAAAAAGTCAATTAAGCGTCAAAATTGTAGATTTTTTTTTTTACATGCAGACAGTCTGACGTAGTAATTCAGTAAATAAATTTGATGTGTTGAGTGACTATCATTACGTTAAAAATAATATAAAAAATATTTTTATTGTTACTCGTAATTTTTAATATGTAAGTATAAAATTATTTTAAATCTAAAAAAAAAGTTTTTTTGTTTTGACGTTTACGGATGATCAAAATTCAAAGTCAATTACGGGTAAAAAGTTTACTAGATTTCTGTCCGTAAAAGTTTTAGTTTCAGACAGTTTGCAGACTAAAATCAAAATTTTGACGTTAAAGAATTTGCGGTTTGTCTGACAAATATCTATAATAGTTTCGAAACTGTCGAAGTTTGAGCAATATGTTGTTCGCAATTTTCATTTCTCAGTTAATAGACCTACATAATGGTTGGCGATGTACTTTTTTCGAGTAACAGCTGCTCAAACATTAAGTTTTAAATTAAAAAATTTGAAAATTTTTTAAAAAACACTTACTGTTGCAAGCTCGCTATTTTTTTCCCGATTTCCTACATCATTCTCTTCAAATTTGTCATTGAATCATTGTCTACAGCATTCCGACATGCAATTTCTCAATTGAAATAATAATTTATGTGAGTAATTTTTAACCTATATGCATACCTATATGCATAAAAAACTACTGTTTTAAAGAAAAATACAAATAAGTAAAAAAATATGAGAGTTTAGCACTAGTTCCGGAGCATTCTGAGTAAATAGTGCATTCAACACTTTAGATATGCTTATACAATAATGAAAATATATATATGTATATGTACGTTTGTGTATTAAATTCTATTTTTCAAATACTATATATTATATAATATATATAAATGTATGCTATCATTAGCCTTATTTGGTTTTTCTATTTTATTTTATGATGTTGTCAAATTTAGAGAAATAAATGCAATTTACACATCAATAAAAATATTTAAATGATTTTTGAATTAAAATTTCTAATGTATGTGAATTCAATTTACAATAATTAGCACTTTTCCAAAAAATTTAAAAAAAAAAGTACTTATTAGTTTTGCTATGTCCGCTTACAAAATTTCTATACCTTTTAGGAGAGGTAGCTCAAATTTTATATATAAATAGATCTTTACTAAAAACTTTTTTTCTTAGAAGAAAATTTTATCTCTCCTGCTCTAAAAGTTATAGTCCATCAATGTCCTGAAAATAAAATTTATTGTAACGAAACCGCACAAATATTTTTTTTAAATTCCGTATATTAAGAAAATTAGTGGCTGGCTTTTTCACCTTGAGCATGGAAATGACAAAAGGGCTATTGGAATTAACCGTTATGTCAAACTGTTTTTTTTTTCAAATTTTTTATATTGCTTTTTCCAAATTTTGATTCATCCCCTCTCTAAAGCTATCATCGCTCGAAATTTGTAAAATTGGAATTTTACCAAATTTCTACAAATAAAGAAATATGACGGTAAATGCCATGTCATCAAAAAATATAAAAATTAATTACTTATCTTATCTTAAATTATGCAATTAACCCTTGAATTCGATCATTTTCAGTAGGTGAATAATTTGAATGCATCTAAATAACTTAAACAATTATTTACAAATACCGGTCAGTGTGAAAGCCGAAAAACTAAATAAGTAAAAACAACATTGAAGTAAATAATAAATTGATGGTAATATACAGGATGTTCTCTATAGTGGAAAATTATTTTCGGTAGTAAAGATAACAAATTGTTCAACAATAGAATTCTATTGAAACTGGTGCAGGAGTTGGGGCAACTCAAAAATGTAAAATTTTTTTTTGCTTGTTTTCATAATTTGAACCACATTATTTTTGATTTTGCCATTCAATATGCAGTATATTTATTCTGGTATTAATTCTGGTGATTCCGGTGATTCAGGTTTGTTTAATCATTGAACTTAAATTGTTTGTATAATAATAATATTGATGTGTAAAAACATTTATAGATTAAATTAAAATAATTTCTTTCTTAATATAAAAGTAAAATAAATTTAAAATTTATTAAATAAACTTTAAATATTTAAAATGTAATTTTTATTTTTTTATTTTAATTATTAACAATGTAATTATTAAAATAATTTGATTTTTTTTTGTTTTGTTTCCTTATTATAATAACAACTCCTATTTCATAA